ATACCTCTTTCAGACAACTAGTCTGTGTATTTTTATGGAGAGCAATGTGCCAAGTTATTAAATTGGGAGAAGAGAATATGTAAATGTAATTTGTGGGTAGGTTTTGTTGATTATTATTTACAAATTCGTGTGTATGTTGATTCTCTTTCTACTTCCCATCTCAAGGAGAATTTATAAAAGCTTTAGTTTATCCTGAAAAGGATTTTTAGAGAGAATTTGGTGAAGAAAGCTGTGGAATTAAATATTTTTCTCATTGGAGGATCATGTGACAGTTCAATTTGGATGTCTTGTCTTATTTTGCTTCTGGTCTATTTCTCAAGGATGCCCATTGCTGGGGTTTGGTAGTGAGATGAACAGAATGAGGTGGTATCTCAAATCTCTTCCTTCCTTCTCTTTAGTCTTTGCTCAGTTTCCCATGTAACCTTACTTTTCCAGTTGGTGTAACCTTACTTTTTCAGTAAGTGAGGTAGGAAGCAATACATTTCAATAAAAAATACAATAAAATATGTATAGATTATTGTGTTATAAACCTGTGTGTTTATTTAATCTATTGACTTTCATCATGGTTGTTGGGGGCATCTGGATCAACAGATCCAGATTTTATTTAGATTGGAGAATTTTAAATTCTATGCAAAAGAAAACAATGAAGTCCCCATCTTATTAGGTAAAATTTTCATCTGTCTGCTTTTTTTCTTGTTTGTTTTTATTTTTCCATTTAAGCCATACTGAATGTGATAGACAGAAGAGTTGTTATTAGTTAATTATATTGTGTATTATTTTCCAGCAAATCCAAATACTTGCAAAGTCATCTAATTCATACCTTATTGTGAGACACAAGTTACTGTCAGAAACAAGTCTCTGTGTGGCTGGGATTCATCTTATGCAGCAATTTTTAAATTGCTTATATGCAGCAATTTAAAAACTGGGCATCTTACTCAAGGAAGCAGCTAGATTACTGAAAATAATGATTACTGAAAGTAATGGGAAAAAATGGGCATTTTGATAATGAATTTCATCCCATCTACCTTAAGCAGTTATGTTTAGTTGATGAGATGAATCAACCACATGATGTGTCTATCTTTCATTTGCTACAGAGGGATCTTAGCATAAATCTCTTAGAGGAGTTTAAAGTTAGGTGAAATTGACACCTTCTTTGAAATCAGTTATCAAAGACCTCGGTTTATTTTAGACTTGTTGTAGAGTAGGATTTGCTATTGCTTGTGTCGTCTTTTTGCAGATACTTACTTTTCCATGTCTCCCTCAAAAATGTAAATATTCATGCAATTTCTTGATAAGCTTGGTTATCCAGCTTTTAAGCCTGATAAAGGCATTGAATAAAGTTTATTCTAAAAGGCATGTATCTCAGTATGCAAAATCCTTTACCATTTTTAACTGTTCAGATTTCTGTTCCATAGATAAAAGGAAAAAAATATTTTCTTGAGCTGTTTGTAGAGTTACAGACTTAAGGCAATTCTTGAAATATTTTACAGGAAATTGGGATATGAATTCACTGAAAAACATCTCTAGTTGGAAGGAAACTTCTTAGAAGAATTTGCCAGATGCATGTTAGGAGTACCTTTTTAGTATATGAGTGGTTCAGGTTTTTATGTGTATGGATAACATTTGCCGCAGCTTACAATTTGTCTACAGCATTTCTTTTAAAACTGACAGCTTGACAATTTGCTAGGTATTTTTGTATAAATGGTATAACATCCCATGGGTGGACCGTGCAGTGATGCTTGGTTTTGACAATATAAATAACAAATCATATCAAAAGGAAATTTTGGTTTTTTTAAGTTTCAGAATGCAGCTTATACTTCCTTGTGTTGTTTTATACTTCATCTTGTTCCATGATGTGTCTGAAGGAATGACAGATATAAATTAGAACTTTAATGTGTTTTTCTGTTTTAAGCCTCCCAGCAGTTCTGTATGTAGTACTGGAACACTGACTTACAAATTAATGGTACTGTGATTTGTTCTTATAACTTACTCAAAGATGCATGTAATACTCTCGAAAATTCAGAAGTATAAAAAAGGTGAAACAGCTGTGCACATTTTGAGTTTAATTAGGTAAGTGTATTTTTATCCCAGTGTGAAAGGTGGTACTTTGTGACATTCTTTAGTAACAGTAATAGAACTGAAGGAAGAATTGGCTTGATGTAAACATGAACTTTTCAAATAGAGGCAGCAAGACTTTTTAAATTGTCCTTGACACAATTTTTTTTTAAATGAAGGCCGAGAGAGAATAGTATTTTTGCACATTGACTCCCAGCAAGTTTTTTCAGCAGATCGACAAATACAGTATATAGAGGAGAAGGCCAAATTCAAGCAGAATTGTATCTTTATGGTACATTTTCCCAATATGCCTATACACCCTATCCTGGTGAAAGGTAAAACACATTGCCAATAGATCTGTGTCATAATTAACCCCAGCCATCAAGCAAGCCCCATGCAGCCACGAGTTGGACTGGAGAGAGAATCAGGAGAGTGGAAGCTGAAAAACTCACAGGTTGAAATAAAGGCAGTTCAATAGGGAAAGCAAAAGCTGTGCATACAAGCAAAGCAAAGCAAGGATTTCACTGCTTCCGATGGGCAGGCAGGTGTTCAGCCATCCCCAGGAGAGCAGGGCCCCATCACATGTAGGGGTTACTTGGGCAGACAAATGTCGTCATTCCAAATGTCCCCCATTCCTCCTTCTGTATATACAAAGAATGATGTCATATAATCTGGAATATCCCTGTGGTTGCTTTGGGTCACCTGTCCCATTCTGTCTCTTCCCAATCTCCCATGCACCCCCGATTTCCTTTCCAGCATGGCAGTACAAAAAGCCTTGGAAGGGGCCTTGGCTCTGTGTAAGCCCTGCTCAGCAGTAACAAACACATCTCTCTATTTACCATGACTGTGTTCTGCACAAACCCAAACACTGCCCCATTCCAGCCACTGTGAAGAAAGTTAAATCTACATCAGCCCAAACCAGCACATTGTGTAACTTTTTAAGAAGTGTATAGAAGTGCTTCAGTTGAGGGTAAATGCACATCAGGGCTCATGAAACTCTAATATTTGTGGTCTACTTGTAATAAATACTTTTATGATACTTCTATGTTGAGTCCTGGGCCCTTGGATTATGTTAAGAGTTCTCCCAATTTTTGCAGCCAATATAACTCAATAGTACTGTACCCTGCAAGTGCTCCCAAACTTCTTTGTTTCTGAAATGAAACATTCTGTCTGGAAAATCCTAGAGATCCAGAATACATCTTTGAGCAGTAGTACTGTGTATATATGTATACACACATATCTGCACGTACAAATATATATATGCATATATATACTGAGATGAACAAGGACATACACATACACACACATATATGTAAAAATCAATGAGAGTGTTCACAGTTGTAGGGACTTTAGTTTACAGAGTGTAAAACAGATTCTATCATGTTTGGTTTTGTGTTTGGCTTTTNTTTTTTTTTCTTTGTTTGTTTTGTCTTTGTGGGGTTTTTGTTGAATTTGTTGTTCCACAATGCCAAATTAAGCATAGATTGGATTAGCAACACTCTTTAAGGCATAGCCACATATTCAGGAAGTTGCTATATTGATGTCTCTCATGCTTTCAACCTATGATATTTTACATAATAAGAATTCTTTTTTTGTTCTACCTGCTCTTTTGTTCTACTGCTCTTAAGCCAGTGTGTCCTAGCAGGTGGTGTCCTAGCAAGTACACAGTTGCCATACCTGGGAGTTGTTGGAGGATGTTGTTTTTTGTATTTTCAGACATGGGAACATTTAGAAATGGATGTCCCTTGGAAGCATAATCAGGAAATATATGTGAAATATATCCTTCAGTTTTAAAGATAGTTTTACAAAAACACTTGTGTAATGAGCTGCATTGCTCTATGAAATTCAGAAAGGGCTGGGATTTATCATTTATTTTCCCTAGCACTAGAAGTTCACGTGTGTAAAAACAATGAAAGTATAAAGTTGCCACAAAAAAACAGGTCTGTCTGCCAGAGATGTACACTCTTGCAGAAAAGGTACAGAGTTCAAAGATGGGAGAATGTGTAGTTGTTGAATATAACTTGCTAGTCTTCTGAGTATGAAAACTAGTCCTGACAATAATATTCTTCTGTTCCTTTCACCAGCTTTTTATCTAGGCTTTATGCCCAGAAAGAGGAACTGGTAATAGATATGCTGAAGTTTTTTATCCATTTTCTTGTATGGTTATATTTTGATTGACTTAATTTTTCTTGGTAAAGGTAAAAGAGAGTTTCAGTTCAGCATTATGAGCTAAGGGTAAAACTGAAAGCTGTGTTTCAGTGAAAGCTGATTTTATATTTCTAAAGCTGACTCCTTGGCAGTTCTATTTAGTATCTCTCTTCCACAGGAAAAAAACCTCCCAAACTTCTGCCAGTACCAGTTGTTTCTGAGGCTGTGATATAAACTATGTCAATGAAATGATTCAAGGCAAAAAAATCAAATTGTGACAACAACCACCCAACCTAAACCAGCCATATTCCAGGGCAAACACAAGAATTTAGGCAGACATATAATGTTGAACTAGATTAGAGAACTGAGCTGGCTTAAAAATGTTTTAGGTCTTTGATGTGTAAAGCAGCTATAGAAGTATTTGTGCTGGCACAGAAGAGCAGACCCTGGTGGAAGAGAATGACTGGGAACAGCAGAAGCAAGGCACCATCTTGGCTTTCAGTATCTTTTGAATATACAGCCTAAACTACTTACCCCTCATGAGGCTGTTGTGGTCTTCACAGTTTCATATTTGGTCTAAATTTTTGATGGGGGGAAAAAAGTAGTTACAAGTGCCTCTTTGCACTTAGGAATTGGGAAGAGGACCTTGTGCTCTTAACATGCTTTTGCCTTGGGTATTTAATGATTTAGGTATGAAGAAGGTGTTTGGTTGGTTTTGTTTAACAATGCAGTATGAGTAAACAACAATAGAATAAACCTTTAAAAATGCTGTTTGATTTATATTCATATGCGGCAAGGGTGAATTAGAAGTGAGTTGGTGGCAGTTTTTCATGCATTCTGGAACAACGTCTTATTACAGTGCTAGGGACCAGAAGTTATTTTCCAAATTTCGTATGTTTGGCATTGCTATGCAATGTTGTATAAAGTTGACACACATAAAAGCTTGAAGGTTTGTAAATTCAAAGAAATATGAATCTGTTGCTGAATGTTAACTGAATATCCATATCTTTATTTTCAAAAATATAGAATAAGAAACCCAAGAAAGTAAATTGTGAAACTTCTTGATTATTTCAAACACAGAGGTAGTGAATTGTGTTGAAAGGAAGCAGTAAGTTAGTGAGTTTTCTAAATTGTTGATCAACAGCAGTGTAACTGAAATTTACACTGGTTTATTACTGGGATCTTGTTTTTGCACGTTTCTCAATGCTCATTAACATTTGAGATTGAGACAGACTACACAAATTTACAACTATTTGCAGTGAAAAGCATCCTTCCACATCAAACCAGGTGGTTTTTTTGAAGATATTAGTAAAAATATAAGGCGGGCATTATGCAGTCTGCTGTATCCTACAGTTATTAGTGGCCTGTCACTGACTGTGAATTGGTTTTGCCACTCTGTAGAAGAAATTATATGAATGTAGCAGAGCTTTCTGGGCAGAGGCAGGCAATGGTTGGACTAGGAAATGAAACTGTTGCGATTACACTGATGAGACAGCAATTATAGACATGGAAGTGGCCTCTCTTAGCTGACTTCACCCATTTTAAAATTACATTCCCCACCTGGTGGCGCAAGGATTTTTCACAATGTATAATTGCCATCTGAAGATAGTAAATTTCTTCCCTACCCCTGTACATTTTAAAACTTGGTGGAACTGATGAATAAGTGATGAATTTTTCCCTAAGTGTCAGTAGAAGTTTAGGATGTCTGCAAAAATGTCTTTTGTGAATAAGAAATTATATGTATATTTTTTCCCAAAAAATATTTAACATAATTTGTATGGAGAAAAATGGTAGCAAGTTAGACAGCAACATAATAAATTATTATAGACTTCCTTGGCCATACTTTTTCCATTTCAAAATAGAAAACTGTGAAGGTAAAATTTTAACTAGTGATTGAAAATCCTGTTCCTGCTTCATCACTCAAGGGATAGACAGAATATCCCCAAAAGACTTGTGTTGAATTCTTTATGTGGGTGAGAAATGCAAATAGCTTTCAGCATTATTCACAGGACCTCTTTATTCAAACTGTCAGTTTTGTGGCTCGTGTTTCTTCTTCCATTGGTTTTAGTGGTAATTACGAAGCTATGGTAATGAATGTGTATCTGTAGCTTGCAGCAAACTATCCAGAGAAAAATTGTGACATGCAGCAACTGCTTTTCTATTTTTCATTTTGGGATTGTGCTGGTGGTGTTTCTTTTTTTTCTTTTTTTTTTTTTTTCCTCTTCCTCTTTCCTTTTTTTCCTCTTCCTTATTCCTCTCTCTTTCTGTGACTCAGAAAACTGATTCTAGAGTAAATTTAGGGGTATTTTTGCAGTGGTCTCCAAATACTCACATATTATCCTGCAGTAGTTTGGCAAAATGAAGATGGGTTTGTAAAAACCTAGAAATGGTGTCCAAACCAAAACATTTTCTCATTCGTTGCACTGCAGTGCATGGTCTTGGATCTTTTCTGAGAAAATAGACATGAATAGAAAGAGATTCTAACTTGATAATGCAAATATTTTTTCTTACTTGTAACAGTAAAATATGGAAATGAAAGGTTATGTAGTCTTTACCTCTGAAGATTTTCAAGGCACTACAGGATAAATCCCCATTTATCTGGGCCAGGGAGCAGCAGGTTTCATTTTTATAGTATTCATTTTAATTGCTGCAGTCACAGGTACGAAGATTGTGAAAATCCTTCTCTCTGCTTTGCTTTGGTGAGTCCTGCCAGTAAGTAGTAAGGCTATCCATTGCAAGTGAGTATTATTATATAGGTATTTTAACAAAGATATCGACTTACCTGAACTTAGTAGAAGCTGCAGAGACTCTTAGCATTTGGGACCAAAGGAAACAAAAACCCCCACTGATCAGAGTTTGGCAAGCTTGCCTACTGTCTCTCCTACTGTCCTGTCTCCAACAGTGGGAAAAAAATCAATAACCTTAGGAAAGGGAGAATGGGATAAGCATATTGGATTCTTTGCAAATTTCCAGCTATTTTCAGCATGGATTATTTCCTGAAATAGATAGGGTTTCTAGGCAGGAGTGCTTGTATAGCTAATACCTACTGCTGGTATTCTCCATCAAAGTTTAAGTAATGAACTGGAGTTATGTTAAAAGCAATAACTGTCATTGTTAAAATCCTCAGCACTGGCAGATGATTCTTTGTTTAGCCTTTCATTATAACCATCGCCTTCTCTGAGAGTCAGTCTTGAAGGATCACTGCTGTTTTCATTCATTCCTAACTGTCCAGTTGAAACCGAGTCTCATTTAAAAGTGCCCCTCCTACTGCGGGATGCCACATACCAGTGTGTTCCTACACCTGTTGGAAGCACCAGTGAACACTGCACCAAGATAAGTCATGAGCGGCTCTTTGAAGTTCTGTGCAGCTTGGGAAATCTTCACTGGTTGTGTGCCATGTAAAGTCAGCCTGAAAGTGTTAATAACATTCTTTAGAAGTTTCAAAGGCTCTAGAAAATTAATGCTGTTTTGGAAACATCATTTCCTCATCTCCTTTTTTCCTTCCTCTCCAAATTCAAGACTTCTTTTTTAATTTTGACACTTCTGTCCACTAATAACTAATGTGGACACGAGCGAATCTAGTGAGGATAGTCATCTTCATATAGCTGTGTGGTAGTGCAAATGTAGCAGACTTAGATACAGTCTGTTTAAATCTATCTTAAAAGTGTTATTAAAGAAAAAATAATGGTAAAATAACATCAGTAAGCAAAATTATAAATGAAAGCTTGATGGCAAAACTATCTCTAAGGCCATGTAGAGGTTATTTGGTTAAATATGCTGATGTGTTTGATATTTTACAAGTAGCACTGTACTGAAAGATTTGTTTATTATTGTTTCTTTTCTAAAAAAACTCCTAATTATAAATGTGGTGTAGTATGGAAAACCTCTTCTGGATTTAGAATAGCTTCTTAATTTTGTAAAAAGGAGTTCAGAAGGAAAAACAGCTATTTGGATTAAGCAGTGGCTCATTTTGAAGCCATGATCACGGATGATTCTATTATTAAGAATAAAAGCAGTGGTGGTATGTTGACCTTTCTGAGAAAAAATTATAAAATTGTCTGTTAAAGGATGCTGAGAAATTTGAATGGTTATTCTGGGGATATAATTCTGTTTTTCATTTAAAAGAATTTAGTCTTGCATTTGCAATGGACATTTGTTTAGTGAAGGACTCCCTTACATTTAATATAATGATGCTGGAGTAAGCTTTTTCAGCTTGAATATGTAAATTGGAAATCACCAGTGATTTGCAAACTTAGATGAAAATTATCTTGAGCTATAAGATGAAAAATATCTTAGAGCTGTTATCTTGAATATGTTAGCTGCAAGAATTACATGCTGCCACTTCTAGTAGCTGTGGCTAATAGCACCAGCACTGCTGCTTAGTGGCAGTAAGCTCAGCCCTTGGAGCAATGGAAATTAAAATCTTTATAATCTCTTATGGGCTCCCCCTTTTTGTATTCTGTTTTGAATGCATTTTATGATGTAGGCTTCTGTTTGCTAAAAATTTAATTAGTACTGCTGTCTGATTTCAGTCAACTGAGTTATCTTCAGCTAAAAGTTAAAGGATGAGTACTGCCTTTACAAATAATAATTATTAAAAAGTAATACTAATGCTTAAATTCTCAGTGTTTGTGAGTAAGACTGGTTCCACATATTCTTTCTGGTCTTGACCAGGCAGTGACAGTTTATACACATTTGTCATCTGAATTAGGCAAACCATATGTACTCCCACCACGCTCCTGTTGGTGGGTGGCAGTGTACAGGAACAAGAAGTGGGTACTTTCTCTGCTTGGCATCCCTGCCACTGGGGATCCAAAACATGCAAATTGGCTACAGAACTGTTTTGCTGATCAACAACTACTGTACCCCACCCACATTTCTAACTAGCAGATGGTGAGGCAAGCCTGTAGAACATGGTGATGGATTTTACTACATCCCTTGAAAAGTAAATAAATAATATTTGAAAATCCTATTTAAAAATCTAAATTACAGAACTAATGAGCTACAAAAGCATAGCATCATATAAGTAAGGGATTTATATTCTCTGTAAAACTTTCATGGTCACATTAAATAAACATTGCTTCAGTAATTTAAAGTGCTTCTTAAGCAGGAGACTATTTTTTAAGGTATTGGTCATCCTAATGTTCTCAATATCTGAGGTTTCTGACTAAGACATTCGTTCTGGAAGAAAAGAAACACTATTCTGCTACAAGTCCCTTGATTAAAAAAAAAAAAAAGAGGAATTAGATAAGCATTTAGAACAAGAAATCTTTCAGCATGAATAAACAGAACAAATGACTTAATTAACTTTCAGCTACTGTGCATTTGTGTGAAACTATGCTAAAACTATAACCCTGTCAGCACTGTATTCTTTCTATGATTTGCAAATCACAGTATGATTTTTCCAAGTCACCAGCTGGTCGGCTGCTGTTTGCTCTGGACATCAGGCAAGATTTTTCCCTGGACAAATCTTCAGGAATCAAGATGCTGTAGGCTAGGTCATGGTTGCCTCTGTTTCTCTCTCAATTGTATTCAGCTTATTCTTTCTGTGGCTGCTGCACAGCTTTTTGCATAGTTACATAAATTTGGCTTGAATAATCTAAGTTTGGTATTTTAATATAATTTAGTAATGTAAAATAATATTTTTTAACTTGATCTCTCTGTGGATGAAAATTATCCTTAGAACAAAAGACTAAAATTCAATTCAGATATTTTTTTCTGATCAGGAGCATTCTTAGAACTTGACGAAGATAGGTGCTTTGCCTTATTGAGCTCACCATCTATATGATAAGTTGCAGTATTAATGTTTGCTAGTAGACACTTTTAATACACAGAAAGGAAATTTTCACAAAGACATTTAATGAACTAGTGTCACAGGCAGTGTGATTACAGAAATACTAGTATGTCCTAAAACAATATTCAGTACCCACTCTGTAGTTATGTAACAGCAGCAGCAAGATTCAACGAAAATTGCTTACTAGATTTGACTCAACAATCTGTATCTTGCCTGATAATTTTATCAGAAGAGCGTGACCCTGTCAGTCCCTCTCACTTCCCTGCACTGTGACCTCTCTTCTGACTTTCTATTGTAAAGTTCACGTAATTAATCTCATCTTTTGTCTAGGGACCTCATCCCATATATTTTAAAAATCTGCATTTTGTATATAGCAGCAGGATATCATCTAGCATCACTAATTGAATTTACACAGTACCTCTGAGCATCAAAATAAGGCATTTTACCAAAGATATCAGTACTATAATTATGGAGAAAAAGTAGCTCCAAATTCTAATCTGAAAGGAAAAAGTAAACAAGTTGGTTTTCAAGTTGATTTTACAGATTAGAGTATTTTTCTATATCTCTGAATGAAAAAAACCAAACACATTCTATGATATGATCTTTGCTTGCTGCTAAGACTTGAACTCCAACATCAGAATACACTGACTAGTGTAAATTGTTATCATCCAGGTTCATAAAAAGCACTGAGGAAATTAAACAAAGGAAGTAAATGCTGTTTTGTACTGCATCAAAATTGAAGTTACTGCCTTCTTCCATTTTCTTTAAATGTATCTTTACAATGTTTTTTGTATTATCATTTGGCTGCCTGCTGAGTGTGCATGTTGCATCCTCACAAGGAATGCATTACAGCAGTTTTAAGAGGATGAAAATTATACAATGAGTCAAATTCATTTACTTACATTAATAGCAAAACTATATCCACTATCATTCTAAATACAGGAGTTGTATCAAATCTTTCTGATATCTGGATTATCAGATGAAGTGCCGTACTCATCTGTTCTCTAGTCTGTTTTACTGAAATGTCATAATTGTAAACTTGTTCTAAATGCTGTAGTTCATGTCCAGTAAGTCCAAAGACAGTGTGAGTGGAAAGGACAAGTGAACAAAATGTAAACCCCTAGTGTTGTGAGAAAAAGTGCAGCAGAATTTGAAAATCTATTTACTGTACTTCCCCTCAAAGAATTTGGCTGGTAAATGACACATATGCAACCTTTTGAATGTAATTGTGTGTGTAATTATGTTGTAGTGAGTAACTAAATATTGGGTGAGTTGGGTGGTTTTTTTGTTGTGTTTTTTTTTGTTTTGTTTTGTTGTTGTTGTTGTTGTTTGTTTGTTTGTTTGTTTTTAAAAGAAAATAAGCCCACTTCTAGGGGAGTTAATAAAACACTTGTGGCTTGCATGGCTTTCTCCCTAGTCCTGAAGTTGTAAAGGGTGAGCTGTGTGGAGAGAACGCTGATGTCTGGGCTGCAGGATGCATCCTTGAACAGATGGCCACTCTGGGCCCACCAGTTTACAGCACCAATGTGCCCTCCTTGGCAACTGAGGTATCCACATTTTCCAGATCAACCTCCCAGTTATTTCTGCATCTGTTGTCATGATCAAAGAGAATTTATATTTAAGTTTATTGACACAAAACTGCTCTCAGCTCTAATGTGTGTGGCTTGTGAACAAGCAAAAGTGTTAATCATTGTATGAATTTCTATCTTACCATTCTAATTGCAAAAATTGCTTGTAAATGTTCAACATTGTAGCTCTTTAACCTACAGTAATTACCCTAATGTGGATACCTGACTGAAAGAGACAGTCTGTATCTAAGTTTTTCTGCAAGTCAGAGCTGCTGATGTAATGCTCATCAGGTAGTTTTAAAGGGACAACACTTATCATATTGGATGCTGAAATAAATACTGGAGTATTTTTCTTCAACAAACTGTAGATGTTTTTTTAATCTTTCAGATAGTAGGGGCTGTATATGAACCTGTGCCAGAAGGACTGTACTCTGAAAATGTCTCATTTACCATTAAGAGGTAATTACTCATTTTATTTCAACATCCTGCTGTAAAGATGTTTTTGTTTTGTATGCTTCCAGCAGAGATAATGTGACAGTTTGCAGACTTAAGCAACTGCCAGTATTTGTCTCTGAATAGGGAATATCTTTGGATTTAAAGAAAAACAGAGCTATCTCCTTACACCAATCATAACATATAAAATATAGCTGCACACATGCAACTGGAAAACTCATACCAATATAATCAGGACATTGATTTAGCCAGTATAGGCTTTATATTCAGTACTGAAATTTACAATTAACGGTATCAGTGCTGTGCTTAATTCCCTGCACATCATTTTTTTCCCAATAAAAACCCAGAATCTGAATAATTTTCCAATGCAGGTTGTGGTCAAGGAAATAACCCCATCAGAATATGTTATTTACAGATCACTGTATGATCATATTCATAGTTTTTTCTGTTTATTTGACTGATAGAAATATGTCTTTCATTACCTTATAATTCTGTTAGCACAGCAGCAGAGGTAATGAAGCAATGGAGGAAAAGATGAGCCTGTACTTGCTACACTCACTCATCACAAATTTCTTAGCTACGTTTATATTTTCCTGGAGATAATGTAATGTGTAAGGCAAAGTATAGAGTGAATTAGAGATTTAGTTAGCTCCCTTGATTTTTCCATCTTAGAAAAAAAAAGCTACTTAGTACAAAAATGCTTATACATTTTCATTCAGATATTCAATTCTGTCTCTAAAAAGCACATTACAAAGAACTTTTGTGTAAGGTTATAAACTAAGGTTTTTACAGTATGTTTTAGTGTACAGAAAGGTTTCTGTTACTTAAAGACCTTGTGGATAAAGGACAACAATGGAGAGTACAGGAGCTAATAGAACTAACATTTAAGTTGAAGAGATTCTGAAGTGAATTTTAATGAAAATATTAAAATCTTTACACAAGAATTTTTCTACATATTTTACTAACAGTGGGAGGCATTAAGTGTTTTTTTTTGTTATTGTTAATTTTTGGGGGGCTATTGTTATTAATAATATCTCTTACTATGGGTTAAGTCTTAAATAATTTGTAATGTTTAGGTTTTTGCTTATGCTTTGTGAGCTATTTAGAAAGAATAAAAACATTAAAGAAAAGCAGTAATAATGAGATTTTAGTTATATAGATGAGAAAACATTAACAGAAAAGATATTATTTTCAAATGACTAAAACAGAACACATTTCAAAGATGAATGTTGGAAGTAAAAAAATAATTTCTTGATAATGATTTGAAGAAATATTGAAAGCTTCTTGTTGCAACTGTAAATTTTCATTTAGTGTTTTCATTACTATTCTTTAGTATTGTTATTAAAATAGGCAATTAAAATAGTTTTATTGCTTTAAGCTACTAAAGAATGTATGGCTGTGGATTCTATTCTGGAATCATAGCCATCAAATTCCAAAGTATATGGATTCTGTTCTGGAATCATAGCCAACAAATTCCTTCAGAGTTGAACATCAACCTACTTGATGTTTAGTCATAAATATTTTTTAGTCATAAATAATTTTTTCCTGTAAATAATTACAGGAATTATTATGCATGGAAATAGATGCAGGACTTATTAAAAATCTCTTCTAGCTCCCTTTGGTCTTGGAACTTTTGCCCAGTTTCAGTGAATTAAAATAAAAAATCAAAAGGAAACCCCAACCCCAAGTATTTTTTAAGGATGAAAACTTGCACCTCTTTCAAAGAAATAAAAAATTTAAAGTGAAAATATTTTTTAAATTATGAAAATTAGTGAAATTAATCAACACATTTAAGAAAATTTAAACAAAAATATTAAAATCAGGAAGTTCAAGCACTGTAAAACATTTTCAAAAGTGCTACTGTGCACGTCAATTGTATTTTACTTAGAAAGAACTGCTTTAGAAATCATAAGTCATTCTATGACATATTCTTTGAAGAAGAGTGTTGGGTTATATGTTTGTGTTAGCAGATTAATGGTCCTATGCAAGGAAATCATAGTACATGACCAGATTAATTGGAGTTAACAGATTTAAGAGACTTTTTAGTATATGCACGACTGTCCCCAGCAGCTTTCCTGTCCTACACTGCATACACTGCAGAAAATTATTTTGGGGATTTAAAAATAGACCTAATAATATATTATTACCATTACTGGGGGTACCTTTAACATAGATCTGTTAAAGTATTTTAGATTGGAAGGGACCCCTGGAAGAGTGTAGTCCATCCTGCTCAATGCAGATAGAATTAGATCTGGTTGCTCACTGCTCAGGGTTTTGTCTATGTCAGTTTTGTATTGAAGGATGGAGATTCCACAGCTTCTCTGGGCCCCTCTGTAGTGTTTGTCTGCCTTTGTGATTAAAAGTAATAATAATAATAATAATTATAATAATAATAATAATAATAATAATAATAACAAGTTTTGGATATATCCAGACTTCCCTGTGGTTTAACTTATGTCTCTTGCCTCTTGCTCTAACACTGTGCATCCCTGAGAAGGATCTGGCCAGGCCTCCCCATTGTGCAGGTAGCAATTAAATCTGCGAACAGGTGGCCCAGGTCCCTCTGACAGCTGCCCATGTATCCCTACAATTCATTGTTCACAAACTGCTGGAAAATGCACTCTCTCCCATGATCTAGGTCATTAATAAAGACATTAAACAGTACTGACCTCAAGGCTGACTCCATCTCCCCCATCCCAGGAGAAGGCCCCAGGCACTCCTGAGTGTATCTGGGAGTGCACAGCCACAGTTCCCAGCAGCAGTTCTGTTGGGTCAGTGTCAAGGATAATTGATGCTGATGCTGGAGGCTGTGCTCTGCTGTGGCAGCACCAAAGCTGCCCAGCCTCAGACTGTCCCAGGCAGAATGAGGGAGCAGTGCTGGCTGGCATTACTCCATAAATACCAGGGCAGGAATTCATTGGTGGAAAAGAAACAAGTAAATGGAGAATGTTCTTCCTGTGGCTGCTTGACTCCTGATGCAGAGGCACGTCCAGACATGTTAGAAATCACCTCACTTGTGCCTCATGTGATGATGAAATATCTGGAATTTTTATCCACCTCTCATCTCATGCTGGAGAAGAAACTGGATTGGGAGAGGAGACAAACCCGGTGGTACTTCATGGAGGCCAATTGAAATGCAGTAACTTACCACCATCAACTTCCCATTTTATCACAAGTAAGTACATGTATTAGCTTTATTTTTTATTATTGTTATTTGCCATATCTGAGAAAATAAGGTGCAGCAAAGCAGAAAATGAATCAAAGTTAGAAGACACATCCTTCTGTAACATTTTTCCATGCAGGCTCTTTAATTTATTTTTAACAAGGTATTCATTAAATTTTTTTTGGACATTCTTATGCAGGAAAAATGACAGTATCTTAAAACCCAATGTCATTCTGTGTTGGAAAATGGCATTGTTATGGAGGTTCTTACCTCCAAGTTTTGATAATATCTGATAACATTTAATTATTATGACACATTTGTGAGTGGTTTGTGAATAGGAGAATATACGCTTGATTAGGGTGGAACAAGTTGATAATCTTGTGTATGATTCATAAACGATGGCACCTAGAAAATGGAACCTACAAGAATAAAATTTTTAATTACAGATTGCAAAATACAGACTAATGATGCTGATAATGTATTTGTTCATGTTTTCTAACTCTCTCATACAGTTCTGCAGAAATACTTACAGTTCCTCCATTTGCTTCAGGCTGTGTTTTAAGCATCCTTCATGGAAAACATCTGTAGTTTACCTACCATATATAATCTCAGAGAATCAATTTAAAAAATACAGGGACAATATCTTTGTGTAGCAAAATTGCTCTTTGAAAATTGTTATAAAAATTCCAGTATAATTTACACAGCCACTCTTATCTGTTCAAATATTACATCTCTTAGATTCCTTTTGTCAGGGCTCAGTAGCTTGTACAAAGAACCTCTGTGTAGGAAAATGGTTTTCTAGAACACTTGGTACCAAACATTCTAGTTTTCACCTTCCAAAAATAAGTAACTTGTATCAATGGTTAATATTTTTTTCAGGAGTTTTTTGACCTATCAGTCTAAGATCATTATTTATATTACACTATTTTTTTCAATAAAAAAGAATGCCAAAACCTGCCAGCAAACTGTAACAAACCATTGCCTTTTAAAATGTAAGAGATATTGGTTTGAAAGGAAGATACAGAGTAGGATTTGTAAGTTAAGATACTGTAAGCAACTTTTCCATGTGTTTTTCATTTAATTTTTCTTAACCTACAGATTTGGAAGCTTGTTGTATGTCATTATCTTTTGTATCTTGATATAGTCATTCTCATGCATAACTGTGATGAAATTTGCAAAAAAATGTGCTATAGATGTAAAGATGCTAGATTTGGGATTTTGATGCAGTTATTGTGTCTTTGAGTAAAGAATGCCCTCTCTGGATATTTGTGAGATATGGTAGAATGGATAGTTTTACATAGAAGTTAGAATACTTGTGTTTTGTATAAATACTTGGAAAATACACCTATCTACAAAACTGCCTGTGTGTTTTAGGCAATAATGGCTAGTTTTCTCAAGGAGGAAACTCTGAAGTCCTAGTTCCAATTGATATTTTTTTATGCATATTAAAAGAACAAGAGATTCTGACAAAGACCCAGAACACTGAAGAAATGGAGGGGAATATGGCTTAGTAATGAGACCTAATGTTGCAAATTGTTATAAATAAGAATAAATCAGGCTAGGATCTTTCAAATTTCAGAGGCATGTTACAGGGCTTAGAAACAGAAGGAGCCATGTTGTTTCTTTCTTCCTGGTATTTAGGAAAACTTTATAAAGTTGAAGGGTTTCTAATAAAGAGAATAATTATTCCTGAAAAGTTTGCCTTTTGAAAAAAAAACCCAAAAAACAATGTTCTGACTAAAAGTGCTTGGAAGAATTTCAAGCAGCTGCTCCTGAAATAAAAGCTCTGTGAGATGTAGACAGCCTAATTTATCTTAGTCAAGGCCCCAGCAAGTCCACACCCAAGTAATTTGTCATTTTTCCATGGTGTCAGAGAATTTGGTGTTTCTGCCATGTAGTTCAATGTTTTGTTGAAGCCAGCTAGCTTATATGCTTTCTCTACTGTAATGTACTTTTGGCGTCCTTTTTCATCCCAGTTTTGTTATATTGTGAATGTTTCTGAAATTAGGACTGTACTCTCTGTCCTTATATATGGAACTGAAGAACAGAGATATTTTGGAGCCAGAATGGAATTTGTTTTATAAGTAGTTTAAAACTACAGTTTGGTAGCTGGAAAATAGGCAGTTGAAAAGCAGGTAAGTCAGTTAGTTACCTTGTGTGGTAAGGAAAGCATAAAATCCATGCTTGAAAATAATGCCAGTAAAAAGAATCGTCATCAGCTCCCTACACAAATTCTTATATTTCCTAGTTTTCCACAGAAACTGTTTATGTTAGAGCAGAAACAGATATAGGGGTGACAGGTGTTTGATAGAGTTTGTGTGTTCAGTTCTGAAAGGTTAAGGTTGCTGACATAACACATGGTACAGAAGACGCAAACAAGTAAGAATAATGGCAATAATTCTTTCTCATTAACATTAATAATTCATGTTGCAACTTTAATTTCAAGTTGATCAATATTATATTTTCATGCTCTGGGCAGGAAGAGGTGGAAAGGAAAAAGGTAGTTTGTGTAAGGTCACCAAACAGACCAGTAGCAAATTTGAATTTTCTGTGTTCCAAGGCAAGGATAAGTCTCAAAACAGTAGTTGATCTAACTAATGAATTGTCTTTCTAATATTTTCTTTTGAAGAGATAAGTGTATAGCCAAACAATGATTTGATTGCCTTTTGAAGTATAAAGATTTGAAAAATGGATTTTGTCTGTTTAGAAAACAGTGAAAATAAGTCATTTTTATTACTTTGGAAACATGCATTTCATTACATGGGCATCATCCATTATTGTTTCATTTACTGTATATATCCTAACAGGTTTTCAACTTTTCTCTCATTGCCACATTTTTAAATGTAAAATATACATATACCTAAAACAATATAGAATGATGAATATTCTGTTCAGTCCTGTCCTTTGAATGTGGTAGAGGAAAGTGTAAGTTTTATAATTGGAGTCCATCAGCTAGAAATATGAACCTTTTATACCTTCTTCTACTCTGAGAATATATTAAAAATGGGCAGACATGGTAGACTACCTGGATGGTCAGAACAACTTCCTTTTCTTGGTTTCTGTAGTTCTGATCTGTGCATAAGGCACGTATATTCTGTCACGTTCTTTCTCTATGCTTTTCTGTATTCTTTGGGAATTTCAGCTTATTTTAATTTTTGTATCAATAATGTTGCTAGAATACCCATTTCATTTTAAATTCATATATGCAAATCCGTGTATTCAGAGCGAGTTCCCAGTTGCTCTGAGTAATGGGGGATGATGATACTTAGATAATGGGAAAAATAGGTCCAATATATTTTTCTGAGTATAGTCTGATCTATGAAGTGTCTCCCCGTTCCATGTTAGTTGGGGCTAATAGGGAGTCAGAATTCATTAACTGTGCTTGGTTTGAGCGGGTTCATTTAGGTTGCCCTTAGCTGAGTGCTTTGTCCTAGTGTTCAAATGCATGAGAATGCCAATTAGCAAGGCTGCTCTCTGCATTTTCCTGTTTTCGCACTTGGACTGCTCTTTGCCTAACCCAGCAATCTGCTATATAGACCACAATGAGGCATCTTCCATCTAGATAGGATTTTTAGCTGCAGGTCAGCACTGGCCCTCCCAGGCTAGGTCTGTAGGTATCAAGGTGCTATGCTACTGGACTAGGTTGGTGCTGACAGAAAACATACTCTGATTATTCCTCCTGCAGGCAGCTTGGCGACTGCCCATGCTAGGAAGTCTGACTATCTCTCCTGCAGAGGCTCTTCAACTCTTTGTTGGCTGAAAATAGTAAATGAAACAGTGTAGCTGTTTTCAAACTATATGAAACTACATTTCAAACTACATTTAGTAAATGACTAAATTTAAACTAAAGAACCTGACAGAACCTGAAATAGCTGATGCAGTTTCCTGACCTTTATCTCTGACATAAACCTTCATACTCCACATCTAGATGATTATGAGTTGATTTTATTTTGTATTTTTGAGGATCATAGCTATATGAAGGACCAAGAAACACAACATAATTTAACTGTTTTTTCACCCAGTCATTTTTCTCCATGTCTAAATTCAGTTCTGCTCTGCTGGCAATTGTTGTGCTAATAATTGTGTCAGTTTCTAAGCATCACCACATGCATTACAAAGTAGTGCTTAATTAGCAATTCGATTTGAATTAATCAAGTTTTTTTGTTAACTCAGAAAAAGACATAAAGATTGGATTAATGTTCATTTTAATTTCCTTTGTGTTTAGAAATAGATTTTGTGCCATTCAGTGCATAAAAGAGTTCTTTCTTAAAAGCGTGTGTGTGTGCAGCAGTTGTTTTGGTGTTTGTTAAAGCAATGAGTATAATTGAGTTTAAAACACTTGACATGCAACAGGTTATTAATTTTTCAGAAATATGGTCAATAGAGAAGATTAAAATATTTTTGTTAAAATTATCACTAAAACTTGTTAAATTTTTATAAAATAAAAATGTGGATGATCATGACCATGCACTGCTGCATACATAAACCTTTGGAAATGAGCGAGGACTCAGGAATGTCATGAAGACTTCCACAAATTGTTTTCTAATTCTTCCACCTTTCACTCCATTGTAACCATTCTGTTCTGCTAATTAAGGAGCTTATGCCTAAATTTTAAAAATGTTGGTGTGATTAAAAGAAAGGAACCTTTTAAAATTTATACTATTTAACTTTGGAGAATAAAGCGACAGTACAAGAACTGTTTTGAAGGTATAATTTTTTAAGAGTTGCTGAATGTTTAATTTGTTAGTGCATCAAAGCTTTTTAATAGAATTGCAAAATGTAAGGGAGGAAGAGTTGTCAAAGATTATCTTGTCCACTTCCAAGCCTTAGAGTTACCTGTCACTCCTGACAGGTATTTGACCAGTCAGTCTTAAAAATGTCATGTTATAGAAACAGTTTGGAAACAGCAGAAATGCAAATACTTACAGTCAACAGTGATATGTCTGATTAAGTTTTTATTTTTCATATGAAGATAACATCTGCATTTAGTCTGTTGCTTGCAGAAAATTTTGGCCTTTGCTTGAAAGGGTTTAGACTTCATGTATGTCTGGTTTCCAGGAGACTTTAGATTGACTTGTGCCTGTGCACCTCTGGGATGTATATGGCACTGGAATTTTCAGACCCAATCTTAAGTGTCATATAAGGACCCTAATAGCACTGAGTCCAGAATATCCCCAAAAGCTGTTTGCTGTGTGCATTCAAACCTGTTACACAATGAAATATGAACCCATATTTCTGTCTGCAGGATCCCAGATAGATGCAATAGTTTAACACTTAATTACAGGAAATTTCCTGCCAACACTGGAAGTATGTAAAAGTTATATATGGTTTTTCTCTTATGTTGTATCCCCCCCAGGTTTTTTTTTCTTTTTTTTTTTTAATTTTATTTGAGCTGAATAATAAAAAAAGTGGAGAAAGAGAAGGAAAGAAATGAGAATGATCAGAAGTCTATAGAGCATGACTTAAGAAGTAAGATTGACATGATTTTAAGTGTAGTGATCAAAATTGGACCTAATTACTTCAACTGAGAATCTCCTTGGTACAAAGTTGAAAGAATACAAAATTTTCAGAATTAGTCTCTTTTTATAAATCCCAGTATGATGTCTACCTTTTCAGAACAGTATGGTATTGTAGTATAATCAGTTTCTGATCCAGTGAACTCCCCATGTCTTTTACTGCAGAGCTTCTGTCACCAGTCCTTCTCTAGTCTGTGCAGCTGTATGGTTGTTTCTTCTTGCTCTCAGAACTTTGCAGTTTCCCTACTTAAACTACATCAGTTCTTTTAGTTTGTCCAGTTTCTCAAACTTCCTTTGACGCTAGCTGTCACTTTGATTGGCACAGCTCTGTGTGTGATGTATGTGCTGCAATGTGATACACAATATGAATGGATCACAGTCCAGGCACTTCTAATAGGCACTCTGCCTATCCATTATGCAGATTGTCACTGTAATTCAGTGGCAACATTCAGTGCTTTTGGAACAAGGTCAAAAAGGAGCCTGATAAATTGTGCTCACTACCCATTTTCAGTTTAGCAAACACTCAAAGAAGTTACCAGGTTGAGTACAGTTTTATGGTCAATTATTCAGCCAACTGGTCGTGATTTTGTCTAGCTCACACTTTCCAGCTTTATTCTAGGACCTTATGAAAAACATTGTCAAAAACCTTGCTAAAACCCACATATGTAACATCTACTTCTTGTTCTTAATGCACAGGAGCTGTTACCATCTTACTGAAAAAGATATATTGGTTTAGCCTGGTTTTTCCCCTGTCAATTTCATGTTATATATTACTTTTTTTATTGGTAGTTTGCCAGTGGAAATAGGTTGTAGTTTGTTCTTGTTTTGTTTTTTTTTTTTTTAATAGAAATTCAATTGACTAGCATAATGCTGTAATTGTAAATGTCTCTAATGAAGAAGATTAATTAAATGCTCTTTGCAAATGCCACTAGAGAGCTCTATATTTCATGAAGACAGAAAAGTTAATTATTCTGGACAGTAGTATAACAAAACAGAGCTAAATAAAAGATCAGTATCTTTATTTTATTTCAACCTACATTTTCCTTTCTTTTCCTAATAGCTTTTAGATTCTTGTTGGAAGTCAAAAGCAGCAATTCAGGTTTCACTTTTCCAAAAACAAAGTATATCTCAATTTTAGTGTTGATAGTTACCAGTGAAGAGATAGGACAAATATACAGGATCTGAATGAATACAGAAGTTTTCCTCATGGCTGGGACACAAATTTCCAGAGATGCTTTTGCTCAGTAATAATGGTAGATAAATGCTGGAAAAAAAATGTTAATTGGTTCATAATTTGAACACTTTTTTTGTGGGCGACTTTCTCCTTAGCTTTCCTTTTCAGCTGTGCTCTTTATACAAGAAGGCAGAATTTGTTTCACCAATTAATCTGATGACTTGGGAAACTGAGGCACTAGTTTATAAGGAAAATGTGAAAATACACTGTATCAACTGATGGAGCCTCCAGAGAAATTTGTAAAATACTGGACTCTAGAACCAAATGTAGGTATGAGCACAGTTCAAATGAATAAGTATTAACTGAATTCCTTTTTCAATGTTTGGGATATTTTGAATATTCCAGTTTCATAGACAGGTAAGCATCTGTCTTTCTCCTTATCTGAAAGAAGCCTCTCTGAGACTTCAAGGCATATGGAAGTGATTGTTTCAATGTGTTGGAGTACACTTTTCTCCATGAACTTACAAAAAAATTATGTTATTTATAACCTTATATCCTTATGTAGGCCATTTTCGTTCCTCTGCTATAGTGAGCAAAAGTGACATTGAATTTGCCTTCCATCCTCTTCTAGCCAGGGTACTTTTGTTCTTCTAAATCAGTCAGTGTCTTACTCAGAAGAGAAAAAACAGTACATAATATCCCTTTTAAAAATTATTAGCTATTTTCTAGGTGGAGTAAAATATATCACAGCAAATTTATTTATTATTCTCAGATTAGTAATGAAATACTATAGTTTTCTGTGTTCAAGTGCTTTGTCAATGGGCCAGATTTTTTTTCTGGACAGGTTATAGCTTTACAGTTTGCATAACTGCTTTAACACTTTAGGATGTGTTCCACTGATATTTTAAGAGTTTCTCTAGTAAGTCTGTCCATTATTTTCAGGCTGAGGTCTATGGAATTCCATTCAGACATCTCAAACAGGTTTCCTTTCTTAAGGGACAGTGGGATCTGGCACCAGTTGGTATGAGATGTCTTTTTGATCTTTTTTCCCCCCCCTCAACTCCGCCTGATGTACAAGTTATTGTTAACAATGAATCTTTTGAGTATGAGATTCAATACTGAAAATGTTGAAAGGAGATTTGAGTTTGGAATGTCCATGCAGTTTGACCCTTCTCTGTCTTTGCTTTGATTCCTTTGATGTGGAGCAGGTGGACTGTTTCTCTTCAGTAACTGTGCACTGACTGTTCAGGGCACAAGAAGTGTGTTCATGTGTGCCAGGGCTGGAGTGCTCTCTTAAAGTCAGCTTCAGAGTCATCGTTAGTGGTTTTCATGCTGTGCTACACTGTAGTCTATTGTGGCATCTTGGACATAACCTCAGCCCAGTACTGAAGTATAAAATGACCTTTTTCAGCCTGAATTTAAAGAGAAAACCTTAACAAGCCATCTCTTGGCTTGTTATAGATTTGGGACTAGAATAAAGGATGGGGAGGTAGTTGAAGCAGATCATTATGTAGACAGTGTAGTATATGCAGTATATGTAGTAATGCTCAGGGATACAGTGAAGTTTCTGAGGAGTAATTTTCTAGTGCATTCACTCCTCTGTGTCCTAATAAAGGCAAAATACTTCATGGGAAAAACTTTGAATGACTGTTGTCCTAGATACAAGACAAATTGTCTTATGCAGAGTCGGTAAGAATATAAGTTTTAGGAATGTGTTATCATCTGAAATGACTTTAATATTAAATATAGTAATTTGTTTAATCTGATATAAATATATAATTCATCTCCTGTCCACCTTTATTGTGCTTTACTTTGACAGGATGGGATAAAAAATATGAATTTATTTACACACAACAGAAATAACAGAAATAGTATGTGAAGATTTGAAACAATAGGAGATCATAAAAAGTCTTCCTTCAAAATATGTTGCATTAAAATAGAAGCAGTAGCAGGGACTGGGGATTTCTATTCATTACAGAAAAATGATAAACATCGACAGCAGCAGGGGCAGAATTTTCTATGCATCAAATAACAAACAAGATGCAGCACTTAAATGTTACAAGCAAATAATTTGTATTCAGTGTTTTGGTTTTCTTAGATCTGCTTTGATAATGCTAGCAGCATTTGGTCATTTCAACCTTTATGTCTCTCTAGCGTCACATCTGTATTGCTTTGGCGCAGCCTAGCTTTAGGTAGCGGGGGGGTCACAAAGATGGATTCTGTGGGAAGCTGCTGGAAGCTTCCACCATGTTTAGAAGAGCAAATCCTGATGGCTGTGAAGATGGACATGATGCTGGCCAAAGCTGGGCCAGTGAGAGAGGCTGGTAACTTCTCTGTGATGACATATTTAAAAAGGAAATCAAAATAAAGTTACAAGTTTTGTTTCTAGTCAGAGAAGAGGAGGAGGTGAGAACATGTGAGGGAAACAACATGGGGACACCCAGGTCAGTGGAGAAGGAGGGGAGGGGAGGAATGCTCCAGGTGCCAGAGGCAAAATTCCTCTGCAGGCCCTGGCGAAAACCATGGTGAAGCAGCTGTGCCTCTGCAGCCCATGGGGATCCACAGGGGATGCAGAGATCCACCCACAGCCCGTGGAGGAGTGGGTGGATGCCTGGAGGAGGCTGTGATCCAGTGGAAGACCTGATGGAGAGGGAGGGCCCTGGCTTCCAGGCTGGAGCAGCCTGTCCTTGGAGAACTGCACCCCGTGAAGAGAGACCCATGCTGCAGCAGTTTTGGGAGGACTGTGTGCCCGTGGGACGGACTCATGTTTGCAGCAGGTGCAGAAGGCTGCTGCTCATGAGAGTGGCCCCACAATGGAGAAGTTCATGGAGAGCTGTCTCCAGTCGGAGGGACCCCATGACCTCACAGGGGAAGGACTCCTCTCACAGAGCAGCAGAAGAAAATCCCAGTGATGAACTGACCAAAGCCCCTATGCCTTATCTCCTTGCACTGTTAGTGGGAAGGAGGGAGAGGCTGGGGAGGGAATTGTGTTTTAAGGACTTATTTTACCTCTCATTATCCTCCTCTGATCCTGTTAGTAATAAACTTAATTTTGCTATGGAAGTTGCGCCTGATTTGCCCTTGAAATATTTCTCCCGGTCCTTATCTCACTCATGAAGCCTTTGCTAACTTTTCTTTGCTAAATTTTCTTAGTTTTCATTTGTATGTGCAGGTATTTTCTCTGAATGACAATCAGATAGACATAGTGGACAATTCAAGCAGCTCCAGTTCAAGTAATTTGGAAGAGTGTGCTGTTGGTAAGATTCTTCAAGAATGAAATGTACAAAACTTTCTAACAGTGAAGCAGTTGTTTAGTCCAATATATGAGACTATTTCATGATTTGTCACAAGTTCACAATCTGCTGTTACCTAAGTGAAGAAAATCACTGTGCCTCTGTGACAGCCATGTCCAGTTTCATACATTTAGTACCACCAGGACTTTGTGTAGCTTGTCCCCATATTTTGCAGTAGCAATTATGAAAACTGGAATATTATTGAGCTTCTTGAGAAGGAAGATGGTTTTCAATTTAAACATAAGATGACTAATATTGATACGAAACAGATGGAAGAGTGTGAAGAAGAAAGTTGAAATAGGCAAGCTTTAGCTGTCTGGAAGAATTGACTGAATGGAACTGAAGGAATGTGCAGATTTAATTAGGACAGAATTATGTGGCAAAACACAGCATTAATTCTGCTTATAGTTATTTATGGTAATCAAATTGGAAAACACCAGCTGTGTTGTGTGCAGTAACAGTTTTTTGGGATTATATTTCCAATTTGAAAATTAAAAAAAAAAATCAACTCAAAAAACAGTAGCACTAACCACTATGAGTTTGCAAGATTGTGAGCTACCATGACCTACCTATTAAATGCAGTGGGATTCTCATTAGTGAAATCAAAGTGCATTTTATACTAGAGAAAAAAGAGATGGGTGTTAGAGTCAAGCAAAATTTAAGGTTTCCATTAATAAAATATGGGGATGATTTAGATGTACTTTTAAAAGGTAAAGGGAATGTAGTTGTCTGAAGATTAGAAAATATTATTGCTGCAAATGTCCCAGGCTCCAAAAAACCTAGAATAACATTATTTGTTTGTAATCCTATTTGGTAGCTAGGTTTTGTTTCATATTTTGACCCAGATACTAAAGAGCTCGGATGAGCTCTTATTACAGAAGCCATTAGTGCAGGGCAAATAATGATGTGGTAATTCTACTTAAAATCCATTAAAATGATTTGCTAATTGTAACTGGATATTCTGAAGGCTGGAGGACCTGTGGCTAGCCAGCCCCGAGATTATTGTCAAAATTTTCTTTAAAAATAATAATTTTAGAAAGCACTTTTTTGTGGCCCCATTCTTGTGCTAAGAGAGTAACAGGAGAAGGTTGCAGGATACAGGGAAGCCTTGAATAACTGTGGGAAGGGGCTGCATAAAATGAAGCCCTGAGAAAAAGCAGCTTCCAGGGACAAAGTTGTATTCTATGTTCACACTGAAGAATAACACATTGTGTATCTCACAGAAATGCAATTCTTTGTGGGCTAGTTCAGCACTGTGCACAGAAATTTGAAGCCTTTCTTTAGTTTGTAACTCACCACACCCAAAGCATTAGTGGTAATGATTTCCTTGTAGCTAATTTTTCTTTGTTAAGATTTTGACTTTAACAAAATAACAGCTTTTCCTAATATTTGAATTTTCCGTGCCATACTGCCATAGTTTTAATTAAATATTTTAAGTGGAAAGATTCGCTCAGTTCTTATCAGTCCCAGGAACTTTAATCAGCATTTCTAGAAGTCATCCATTTTTCTCCTGGCAGAGAGTCTAATTATTATATAGATACTTCAGGATTGCTTTTTCAGGAAAATAACTGCAGTATTACATTCTTAGATCAGCTGTAGTTTCTACTTCATGTTGAAGTCAGTGTTATAGATCAGTTGTAATTAATGCTGGAAAATGTTTCTACTTCTCAGGGGTAAAGAAAAGATAACTTAAAAAAATATAAATTCAGGATAATTGGGTATTGCTTGAGAAATGTTCCATTCATTAATAATAAGTGGGTAACAGAGTTTGAATTATCAGCCATGGTTTTGTCAAGCATGTCAGCATTACAGGGGAAAACGTGGCCAACTTTGATCGAGCTGAATTGGAAATTTCTAAAATGAAGATGAGAGTTTTAGTTTCAGGTATATTGATGAGGATTGTAAAAGGATTTGTCTAATCGTTCTGTCATCACATCATTCTCAGAGAAAACGTGATCATTCTAATTTGAAACTAGGGTGATATTTTGCAAAAAGGTGTGATATGCTGAGCTGTTCAGTAGCACAGACACTGGTATGGATTTGTCCGTAATAGGGGGAAGCCTTTTTTATAGTCCCATATTGTCATATATTTTTAATAACTTTGCATACTCAGTGTTTTTCAATTATGCTTTAAAAAAAGAATTATTCTTCTTAGTACAGAACATATAGACAATGTATTTCTACATGACCAACTCCTTTAACAAGATTGCCAAGTTCAGGGTGTGTAGATTCTGGAACAGTTGCTCCTGGTACTTGAAATGATTAATCCTACAGGAACAAGATTCTGCACATTTCAGAAGCATAGAGGCAGCAGTGACAGATGCATATTTCTTTTCCTGAAGTAATTATAATTTCAAATTATGAAGATTGACAGAGGATAGGGACATACTGAGTCAAAAAGCTGTGAAGAATGATGGGATGGTAACAGTTTATTAGTTGCACTTTTTTGCTTAGTTTAAAATTACAAAGTGCCCAACTTTACCTTAGCTTAGTCATATTAAAGGGTTTTTTCTTTCATTTGGTTTATAGTGTAACTATATCTTCACTTCTATCGGTAAAACCAAATAGCAGGAAAATATGTGATATGTCTTAATGCATAGTAGTCCAGTAGAGCCAGTGTGTCAGTTGGGTGAAAGTTGAAAAATTTACTTTTTGTCCGGGAATGTTCTTTTGGACAATATTTTTTGTTTCCTTTAATTGTGCTCATTTTCATCACAACCAGGACAGTGTCCTAAATACATTGAAGGACAATTCTCTGTAAAACCTGCTATTAGAAAACCCTGGTCTAAGGCTTTATGTACTCCTAACCTTCCTCGCAATATAGAGGCAGCATGCAATAGATTCTTTTCCGAATTGCTCAGCCTTTTCAAGAGAATAGTAAGTCTCAAAACACAGTCCTGCTGTGCAGCTGGATCTTGTTTAAAAGTTTTTCTCTTACCTCATAATTTCATTTATGCTTCAACTATTTGGAGGAATGTCTGCACTTTTATATCTTGTGACCATTAAGCAAAGACACTGATATTCATGATTCCTTTCCTGTAAGAGTATTCAAAGTCACCATGTAATGAAGACACCACAGACATGCCTGAACCATATTCTAGTGATGTAACTCTTAAAGGGTCTCCTATATCCTCCTTTGAGAAATGCAACTGGTTTACACAGTGCCAGGACTTTGTGCAGGTAGTGCTCGTATCCAGTTGAATAATTGAGGATTTCTAGAACTAGGATACTCTCAAAATAGGAACTCAGTGTGTTTTATGTAGCAAGTGATTTGGCTCATCACTTAGGTCATGAATTTAGGTTATCACTTCACTCTAAATTTAACTATTTACTTTTGAGGATAACAACAACACATTATGAAATAAACCCCCATTCACTAATGTAATTTGTTTTCTGGAGCCTGTGATTTGGGCTACATTGCAGATAGCAACCTTATATCTTGAAAGTTCTGTAGTCACAGAGATGAGCCTTTTTTTAAAATTCAGACCGGTTGTATTTGATAGATTTGGTGACTTGAGAAGACATTTCTTCTTTATTAAAATGACTAGATAGTCTGGTATGTTTTTGGAATAAGATTGTCTGACATCTGCTGTATATGGTTTTCTGGTTTGTGAGGAGAGAGTTTAGGGAATTTCTTGAAAATTGTTATTGCACCAAGAAATCTATCATTTGAGCAATGGGCTGTCTGTGAAGAACTTGTGAGACCTTAGTGTTTTGTAGGCTTGCTTTTCATTATTTGTCTAAGATTTAGACTTCTCTTGAGACCTCAGGCTAATGGGATTTTGTTGAAGTCATCAGCCAAGACCTGGTTTTCCTATATGATGCCTGAGTTAAATTTGAAGTATGTTTATGTCAACTTCTGTTGCTGTTCATGGAATCACTGCTTGCAAGAAAAAAAGTAGTTGTTTGCTCTGCGAAACAGCTTAATTAATCCGACTGGGATTGTCCATTCCTGTGTAGTGATTTGAAGGGCAGCTTACTAAGTTAATATTTTTGAATAAATAGAGGTAATTTCACCTTACTCCTGAAAAGATCATTGAGCTGTCATTCAAAAAACCACTCTGCTTCCATTTCATTCAAGGAGATGTACTGAAGTTCTCTGCTAATGCAAAATTTTAATTCTGTTTTCCTGCCAGTCTGATCAAACTTGGAGAGGTTTTCAGAGGCTTTGGTTTTTAGATACCATTGAAATGAAAGTTAAATCCAAAGCAAAAGTTACTCTCTTCTCAGGTTTTTCTGATCTCATATCATGTAACCAGCTCTTCCCTTGCAATTGCCTGTTTAGGTGCCTGCAAGAGCAGAACACTAAACTTCATATTAAAATGTATTTGCATGATTTTTACTGGTGTTGATGCATGTTAAGAAGTTAGAGTCTGAGAAGTTGCTCTAATTACATCAGCTGCTAAAGACCAAAGTAGCAGTCAGAGAAATTATTTATGCCTCATTTAATACTTTTTAAAATGTCCTTAAGGAATCTGCATAGAGCTATTCAGAACAGGAGGCTGATGAGAATTAAAAGCTTTGGCTTTTGTGTGTCTTTCACATTCTAACAAAAATGGGCACAAAACAGGAAAGAGATGGAAGCTTTGTATTTCATTTTCCTTGAGATTGTCTTGCACTGAAAAATACCCTCTTGCAAGGCATTTGAACAGAACATATTGCCTTGCTCTTCCTATCCATGTCAAAGGAGTAGCCATGGTAAAAGGAAATATGGCCCAGGAAACCCTGAGCTGAACACCAGGATACACTATGTGCTCCATGACTTACGTGAGTCACCTTGCCTGCACATCTGTGCTGTTTCTTACTCCCTGACTGGCTTTGTATGATTAGCATAACTCATACACAGAAGACTAGGGATTATGAATAAAGTTATTAGTGTTCCTTGAATGTGTGGGTACACATGTGAGTGTGTTTGTCACAATGATTTTTAGTTCACAATGATGTTTGAGTCTCCTTGTGTTTAGTCATTAAGGAAACTATTTTCCTGTTTTCATAGTGAGTAACATAATGAGATTCCTCTCTCAGGTCTAGCTGCTCAGTGGGTCTCTAGCATAATAAAAAGCAATAAATATAGGCCTGAAGGGTGTTTGCTATTGTTTAGTGATGTTCACCATCTTTGGAATTTTGTTTTTTAGCATTAATAAGTATTTTCCTAACTTTAGCATATGAATCAGAAAATATTGCACCTCTGCTGTGTACAGTCAGGGGTGATACAGACTCTTTGGTGTGAAATATCATGCACTTGTAAATACACTCACACGATGGCAGATTAGCAAGTCAAATGTGGTGAGTCATCAAACTGATCAAACAAATTTGGATATGAACCCTTCCCTGATGAGAGACCATTTATTTGATACAGCCAAAGGGTGAAATATTTCAAACCCAGTTTTGTAGATGGATACTTTAAAAGGGGATTGTTTTTTATACAATTCTAACAAACATCTGTGTTCACTCTTAGCTTTCTAGGCAAGTGGTTTTAGTTACAGATTTTCTTGCATACATTCACATAATACATTATGGTATATGTTGTGACAGAGAGTCTGAGGTTGCAGCTCAAAATCCTTACCCCAAGCAACATGACTCACATTCACTCAGAGTTTCTACTTTTGTATTTATGTTATTTTGTCTGTGTCCTAAGCAGGTAAAATATCTGTCCTTTAATAGGCACAATAACATTTTTCATTTCCTTCACTTTCTAGGCTGTGGGCACTCTCTTTTTCTATTTTTCTGTCTCATTAACAAAGTTAATTGAAGAACTTTTGCTTCTACAAGGGCCTAGTTTACTTGCTGTTATGTAATTTATCTGCTCTTATCAAATAGTCTTTTGTTCTAGCTAACACAAAATTTTGGTGTCTGTATTGCTAAGCAAAGTATCAGCAAAGATTAAAATATTGTTTCTTTCTTGTTTCTTTCTCTTTCATTCTCTCTCTGTTTCTGTGTCTCCTTTTCAGGGAGACAGATTTGGCCTAAAGATGTATAATTTCTTTTGGTTTTAAAGTGAATTCAGTTTGACAGATGAAAGCTTCCCTCAGATTTTTTTTAAAATTTAGAGGATCTCAGAAAAGTAGTAAAAATATTTCAGAGTACAACACAAAAGTATGTTTGAACACGAAAAGATCTAAGACTCTCAAAAATATTTTTGCTCTGCAGTTGCTCAAGAACTAATATAACTGCTGTAACAAGACCAACAACGGGAAAGCAAGTTTAAGTTTGACATAAAATCTTTTTTTTTCTTATCTGCGTTTGAGTGATTAGATGCCTTTGTTCTTGTTTAGAGATAACGTTTATGATGTTACTAGTGTGGGAGAAAAATCTCATGTAGACAAAGATGCAGGCCTTGTATTAAAATACATTAATTGTATGTGAAAATTGTAAGAGTATCCTAATCTTGCTACTCAGATTTTCAGTTAGCAGAATTATCTTTTCATTAAACATACACTCAATCAAAATGAGATACCAGGGTGGTCTCAAATTACCATCCAAATTACCATCAAAAGAATAGTTTTACAGGAATGATTTAAGACAAATGCTTAAGACTAATATTTGCTTTAAGACAATGCTTTCCAAGTGCATGAATAATAGATGTCATCAAACATTAGCTTTCCTTCTACACATTTTTTGGCAGTATGCAATAAATGATTTCAATGTTTACATTCAGTTTTATTGCTGATAAGATGTTGGCCCAATAACTGGTCATACTGCTGTCTTCAAGGCCTTGACTTCAGTAGGATTATTTTAAAAGGAAGGTATTGCATGTGTTATTGCATATAGATAGCCACCAAATGGAATGGTGGCAGTAAATATCTGGTGAACCTCTAAGAACATGGGCAAATATTCTATCTCCATATCCAGACTAGAGACAATGTTGTGGCTATAGCGGTAGCAGTACCTGTAACAATTTAATGCAAATCCTGATGCATATTCTGTGAACATCTAGTCAGCCTGTGTTGTTACTTTCTGTAACAATTTTCTGATATAATTTATTAAAATACTTGTCAGGCTGAGATTTTTGTTATGATGCAAGCAATTTTTTGATACATCAAACAGCAACTTGATAGGTGGAGGTTTGGAGCTTTTTTAATGCTGTTTTTTAAAAGTTGTTTTGACAACATGTCTGGGAATAGAAGATATTAACATACATGTTGTACATTTCTTTTAAACAGAAAATAATATTTATGTGTTTGTTTCAGGTATAATTGAACAAAGTTTCAGTGTTTCTGAAAGACAGCCTCAGATAAGGTAGGTGTAATTTGATTTAAATATAATTGATCATTGTTGCTATCAGTTCCAGCTGGTTGTTTCACAGTGGAACAGTTCCTCAAGTTCCTTGTGAAACATGTCCTTGGTTACCTTTGACTTTATTTTACCTCAGCCTAGGACCCCAATTCTGCTTGAGGATATGTTAGAGGGTGTATGCGCACAAAAGCTTTACATGATAAATAGTTTTAACAGTGGACCATGCTACTGAAACTTAAACTGACATCAGTTTATTAGCCAAATTCTGGTTTTATATTTTTAAGCAGATGCTTTTCCATAGAAAATGGTGCTTGTGTATTTGATAGTTTAGAGTATGCTGTAGTAGTCTAGAGTAGTACCTTGTCTCTTTGAAATCCTTTGGATTTTCTGTATAAGCATAAACACCCATTTCTTGCATTTTGGAGGCCTCATTTCTTCAAAAAGGAAACAAACAGACAGAAGCAGAATAAGTCATGTCATCCGACTTCTAAGGATCTTCCTTTTTCTTCTGTGTCTTCAGTAATATATCAAACACATTCCCGACCATTACTTTTCTGATCACTTTGGCACCACCCTTATGCAGAAATGCTGTCAATTGTTTCTTCATTTCTGCTTTTCTTCCATATCTGGGAAAAAACTCTCAAAATCACTCCTGGCAGCATCTGTCTCCCAAACATTTTTTTCATTTTACCTTTGACTTAGCAAGGTAAGTATTTGTAATGATTGCATTGATTCTTTTGCTGTGTTTGCAAAAGACCCTGTTTGAGTCAAGTGCAATATTTTATTTTTGCTTTCAGAATGGTGCTTAGCATAACACCCATCCAGTCTGTTATTTATCTCTTCCTAACCTTACATGTTCTGCAGTCCTGTTGCAGCCTCCCCATGCTTGAGCGTTGAAGAAAGCATTTTCTTTCTCATTGTAGAAACTCATTACTATACAAATCTCTGCCCCTCACATTATCATCTGCAAAACTGTTTCCTTGTCTTGATTTGTAACTACTCCTTGAAACAGTGGTTTTCCCTACTGCTACAAAAATAGATAAAAATTTGGGCTATTGTGGCTGCCATCCATCAGGACATCATGCTTGTTCTTTCAGTTTCCTGGTATCTGTGCCCTTTTGTTATTGCTTATCTCAGATAGTGAGATCTGCAGGCTGGGAAAGTATTTGTCTAGAGTTTAGAGAAGGATATAGCATTGATACATGCAGACCTGTATTTCTGACTTTGAAGTATTGCCTTCCTGGTGATGGAATACCAATTTTTTCCCCATTTTACTAGTACTGACCAAGGAAAGAAATTTTTATTTAGTAGAAGTCATTCTATTTTGGGCATGCAGAGTAAACCAGTTTTTAGAAATGGACAGTTGTAAACTAGTGAATTTGGACAGATTTCCTTTAGGTGAAACATGAGAAGGAATCAAGGAATACTGCTATTTTCTGTACAATCAGTGATGCCAAACACAATTAAAACTTGTTTCTTTTTTTTAAAAAATGATAGATTATGTTGACAGTTCTGGATAAAGACTGCGATCAGGTAATCTTGTGTTCACAAAAAATTCAAACTTTAACTTACATTAAATCTAATGATTTTCAAGTTTTTGAACATTATTACATTATTCTCCCATTGCATATAGAATGTTTCCTCTTTTATTTCTTCCTCTTTATTGCCTATTGATTTGCTTTTAAGAGTACCTTCACTCACCCACAGGCCCCACACTAAGAAAATCAAGTGTTTCTTCATGATGAGATGGCAGTTTCATAGTCTACCAGTTGCAGCTCTTTGCAATGTGAATCATCATGGTTTTATTTATAATTGTATTTTTAAATGTTAGAAAAAGAGATAATTACATTTTACATACAAATATCTTATCTGAAGTATCATTAAGGTACTTCTTAAGAGTATGAATTCCAACAGTGAATCAGTAAGATCTCATATTAATTGTCATTATCCCAGCTAAACTTCTGCAGAATGAAATGGGAAATTCTTCTGTAAAATGAATATTTCATACAGCTCTTGTAAATTATCATGTATTTATGCATCATGATTGATGAAACAAATTTTCCATTTGAAGTACTTTTACCAAGAAGCTTCACACCCTGTAAGTTGCTAAGATGTGATTTCAGAATGCATATTGTCTGAGTTAAATAATATTTGAAATAAAATTATTTTGATCAGTTAGGATATTGATCTTCACAAAAAAGTGCTTGTTGTCTGTACTAAGTTCTATTTTACAGCTTTTAATGTAAAAACTGTATTAAGAATTTTAATTATGCAGTACAAATCCAAATTTGATGTCAACCTTCTGTAGTTTCAGTGCTGTTTTCTAAAGGGTGCTCTGTAATAACAATTCAGTTTAAACATAATGTCTGTGTGCTATAATGAGCTACAGAAAAATACTTTAGCCTTTGTTGATATTTTCAGTTCTGTGAGTAAATTGAGTGAATCCATTATCTTTTGTCAGTGATGTTTTCCTTTTGGATAAAAGTCTTAAAAAGCTTTGGTCAAGTCTTCAGCAGCCTATTCACACATGTACCCTCATCTTCCAAAAAATGCTTCTGTATTAAAAAAAACCCCAAAAAACAAAACAAACAAACAAGGAACTTGGAGTGGTCCAGTGTGTGGACTTCATGGGAACTCCTAAAGTCTTTGAAGCACACAGGTGCTACAAATAGACATTAAATCTGGTACTCGTAGATTTTTAAGTCAAATTGTTGCTGTCATCCTAGAAAAGAGAAAGAGCTCCTTAAGCTGACTAACAGAGAAACCTAAATGATGTCCTTCTTGGTCTTTGCTGTTTGCTGTTATCATTCTAAACATATTCCTATTCAGAAAAAAAAATAATTTAAGACCTACAAAAGAAAAGGCCCTGACTTATTTACTTTTGGTTTATAATACAAGCCATTGACAGGAAAAGAGGAGACAAATACCACAGAAGAGAGAGCAGTGAAAAAGGGAACATGTCAAAGCAGTGAAGGTTTTATGAGTGTCCTTAACATAACTGAAGATTTTAAGGCAATAATGGCAAGACCACACTGGATTCTTTTGGGCCTTGATTATAACAGAATTGAAACAGTTGGTAGAGAGGTGAAAATTAGGCAAAAAAAAACCTAAATCAGAATTGTTCTTTGGGTGGCATATATTTTTAGATTATTATAGCATGGCTTCCACTGTCACCTTGAGCAGAACCAACTTACATTCTTCTTTAAATGACTCAGAGGAAACGCAAAGTTTTTTTTTGTCTTACTGATTATTAAGAGAAGACCTAGGAAAAATATGTCACACTGAATTTCACTTGGCTTTCTCAAGACATTTGCCAAAAGTCAGTGCAACAAAAATCCTCATAAATATCAATGATGTTGTCTTCCTGGGCCTACTAGAAATGTGTCTCCCTGTGGTAGAGAAGGATGTTTATCTGTATTGCTTTATTTCTGTGAGAGCATAGTTCAGATCTGGATGGTCTTTAGACACTAATATTTGTGACTATCTTTCTTCTTATTGAAGTAGCCAGCACAGAAATTAATCAGTAAAAAAGTAGTAGTAGTTCTTTTGTGGACTAGTTAATGTTGGTATTTGGATTTCGTCACCCTCTCAGTAGAATTTTTAATCTGGACATAAGATCACATTGGGAAAAAAAAAAAAAAAAAAAGAACATTTTCTGTCGTTGTAAATTTATACATGAGACTTGATGATCCTCAGGGTGTTTCTGTGAGAGTAAATGTTAGAATATCTAAATTAGTCTCTGAAGTGTGATTTAGAGAAAATTGTATTTAGGAGAGGTACAGGGCTGCTGGCTGAAGTTCAATACTTTGAACAAAGCTCTTTGCTTAGCTCTCAAGTCTAATGGTCAACGTGGAAAGATTATTTTGTGAACGAATGTTCTTCTGTGATCCACTAAGTGTTTTATAGTGAAAGCCTGCTGATAAACTTTTATTTAATCTCCGAGCCTAACAATGTGTATGACTTCAATATACAAGATAAAAAATCCTGAACAATAGATTTACCTCATTGAAATAGTCCACATCAGACATATTATTATAATGCTTAGGGTAGAATGAAAATAAATTCAATAACATCAAAATATATGAAAAAATATGTTTTGTTAGTCTATGTAAAAAAAATCAGTTAAGAAAATTATGTTTCTCATATATTTATCCTTTTCAATAAGTATGACAAAATTTTAACAATTGTTGAGGTACATTAATACTGCTTCTGTCATGGAGTAATTTAGTGATTCAGAGAAAGGGATTTTCTTTTGAAACACATAGTCACTTATATTGTCTAAATTTTTAACATTTTAGATTATCCTTTTTTTGTTCCCAGAATTATTGGAAAAACAAGTCAAACATTTCAACTTGGTATTTACAGCTGCGAGTTTTAAACATTCTATTCTATTAATGTGCTAAGGCAACAAAATGAGCTGCCCTCCTGATTTTTCTCTTGCCATCTACAGCATTGGCAGGAATCGCTGTATCACAAGGAAAGGTGCATCAGATCAGTGACCCTGTTCAGCAGATTCTGCACAAAATTATCTTCAGCACTAAAGTATGCATTACTGTTGCTTTTGACATTCTGTACTTTTTAGTCATTTGCTGTTGTCAAAATGATGTTACTGCAAAGTGCTGCTAATTTAGTTACTGTTCTTTAAAAACAACAGAACTTGACATTTTTGCAGATGGCAGGATGCTTTAAAAATATATCATTAAAATAAAAACTAACTTCGAATATTACTATGTGGAGGATGGCAATAATTGAGTCATATAAAAAAAAGCTGTAGCTCACCTCAGAAAAATGGATTGTACAGTAAAGTATTTTTACAACATTCTGTCATACCAGCAATATGACTACTTAAGGTGACAATATCATATACTGACATGGAGAGTTAATGAAATGCTTTCTTCTGTGGTAATAGTTTTGATAATTTTAAGTTGTATTTTAATTATCAGTACATAGTAATGTTCTCTTGGGAGTTTTAGTGCAATAGATGAAATCCTGAATATGTTAACTTTTTGAAATGTCAGATATTTTTCAAATTTAAGACTTATTTTAAAATTAAGTCCAACTTCATAGTGAGAGTTGAAGTTATTTCATTTTGATTCCAAAACAAAAATGGAGCAGAGCTGATACAAAATCTGCCTTGAATTCTCACATAAAAATGTGACTGGAACCTCTTTATTCTGCGGAAGGATGGCTACCATGCACCTATTTGAAACATTTGCTATTGTTAGAGAAACAGCTTTTTATTTTCCAAAATGAAGTTTACATTTGGGACATGATGTTTATCACCTCAGGGCTTTTGAGATTTATCAGCCAAATTTGTTTGGTTTTGTTTAGAACAGAATATCATAACTGAACTTGGGTGTGCTTTATATGTGTCCCTTTTGTTTTCTTTTTTCTTTCCTTTTCATTGTCAAGCTTATCAAAACAGGTAATACAAGAACTAAATTATCAGAGACAAAAGAAACAAACATTATTTAAGACAATTGGAAATTATATTCTTCTCCTATCAGGAGAAATGAGGCAGTTCAGTTTTTACATGGTATTTTAGGAGCATGTCAAGGTGCTCATTAGTTCTATCCTATCCTTTCTGTTGAAGGAGGTTTTCTCAAGTGGCTTACTAATTAGTATGTGTTATTGTAATGTGGATACTCGAGAACTGAGAACTAACAGCAGCTCAAAAACTGGCTCAGATTTGACCACTGAAGCAGTAGCACCAGCTTTTCTCTGATTTCAGAGACACCAAAATCCATACCTGTACTCGTTTACTATGTTCCACATGCCTCCCTTGCACTTGTTTATGTTTTTACAAATCTGAGGTCGAGTATTTTTTATAATACACAGCTGTTTTCTCAAACTGTTACATATTCCAGTTGACAGTTCTAAACTGAAGTTTGCAAGGAGGAGTTCTTGCCTGTTAGTTCTTGCCTGCCAGCAGCCTTCCCTGTTTCCATGGGAACAAGAATCAGAGTGATCTCTGGAAAACAATGTAAGAGAAAGCTTTTTAAAAAAGCATTATGTAAATCCTTGGCTTTTTTTTTTTTTTTTTTTTTTTTTTTTTTTTACTGATCTGACAACTGATTTGATTAAAACAAAAGCTAAAATTGAACACTAGTGCCTGAGGCAACTCCAACTTTCTCAAGCACTGGACTTGTTCTTTACCATTTCTGCTTCAGAATATCCCATTATCCCCATGGTACATTAACTATACACTGCAGTGGTATGTAATCCATAGAATACGTTGTCAGCCTTTCCTAGGGCATCATTTATTTTACTCTCTCATAGGCTAAGGAACATTCAACTTCTGACTTAAAGCAAATGTATAAGGCCTTATCTGCATGAGAAAAGAGTAGTGTCTGTCTGTGAGAAAAAAAAAATCTCTGCATGCCAGCAGCTGTCTGGAGAAGTCTTTTGTGCTTAGCATGTGACATTGATCCCTGGTTTATTAGAGCAAATCAGGGCTCCTGTGAGGCCAATAAAACCATTCTGGATTTATTGCTGTCTAAGAGCAATAATTTGTTCCAGTGGGATAAATGTCTCTATAATGTCTCCTATGGCAGGGTTTGAATGTGAATCATTAGGGGTCAACCCCTCCCTAAGTAGTCAAAAAGCTTCCTGAATTCAGTTGAGTGGTACTTCATGAATTCACATCAACGAAATTATTATAAAGTTTGTACGAAATGGGAGAAAATCATAGTTTTTCAACTATGCAGAAGCAACAGAGAAGATAAATTCAAAAGGGTAGTAATGTACCATAGAATTGTTGTCAGACTGGGTTGATGTCATTGCAGTTACCAACAGCTAAAACTGTACATTTGCTGTTGGAACATAAAAATTATTTTAAAGGAAAAAATATTTTAAAGTCTTTATTGAAGACTTTAAGTACATTATTTGTGGGGGTTTTGTTTGGGTTTTTGTTGTTTTTCTAAATATAGGTGAAAGATGTGTTCTTTTTCAACGAAAAGGATACAGGAAGAAAAAGTATATAAAACTAGTTATGCTTCATAAACAAGTGAAAGGTAAATTACCCCCCTCAGGAAGCTTAGAGCAAAAGGGGTGTTCTGAATTGTATGAAGACCCTTGAGGACATTAAAGAGGCCATTGAAGCCATTCTATATACATTCAAGGAAGGTCTAAGTTTCTTCATTAATTTCAGATAGAGAGATTCATTATAGCCAACATGAAATCTAAGGCAATGTTCTATGTGCTTCATCTGTAGAAAAATGTCCCAAATACTGTCACTTTGATCAGGGAGGCAAATCTGGTATTACCAGTGTTAGGCTAATAAAGATGGTTACCTTCAAGACTAGAGGAACTGAGTTCATGGTAAGCTAAGCCTAACAGAATGGGCAAACAAAGGAGCCTTATTCTAATATGTCACTAAATCAAGTCTTACACTGTTGTTTATCACCATGTCATTAGATAACGATGTTTCTTTTTTCAGGGTAGCTACATTTCTCAGTAATGGCACTTCTGAATGGGTCCTTTTCATGGCAGGTGTAACTGAATGGTGAAAGTGCATTTCTTTGTCTCATGTAGCTTCCTCCAGCTTTGCAATGCAACTTGGAAAGGAGTATTGTTGAGAGATTCAAGAAGTCCCTTTTCAGTCAGAAGAGCAATCCTTGTAAACTGGAATCAGAAATCAAAAAGGTGTGGTACACCATTTACTACTTGTGTTCAAGATTGTCTCTCTTTCCATTCAGTCATGCTATTGATATCAGTATCAGAAAAATGTAAGTGTAAGAATCCATTTTCAAAAGGAAATATTTTAAATATTCTCCAGCTATCCTATATTTGGAAAATATGGAGTCTCCTTAAGTAAGAAATTTTCGCAGGATGGTTTCAGGTTTGTATCTTGTCATTAGAACTCTTTCTGTAAATGGTAAGGACCTGCTAACTCCTAAGACACAAACCCAGATTTCATCTCATCAGAGCTCAAAAAGACAAGAGGAAGGGTAACATAACTAGAGATTATATAAGCTCTTAAGTTATACAAGCTCCGCTTGATTTGATTTGTTAATAGTTCCTTAATATTTTTCTTATTTTGGACTGTATTCCTACTTAAATCATTAATCTTAAGAGAGCAGTGTCCCAGAGTACCTTAAATATAACATACCTTGTCCTGCTGTTGCACAGTGTGTCAGCAACATTTTAGTGTCATCAATTTAAAAGTACTGCAGATTTGTAAGAATGAAAAAGCATTCTTGCTTGTTTTCCAGTGACATGCTGGATGCTTTCCAACAGAGAAAGATCTAATGACTAATATCAGAATTTCTAAATGTTCCTTCACAATCTCCTGAGAGGACTGCAATCAGCAAAGGATTTGAACTTTACTTCCCTGGCATCTGTGTACTGTGGGATACTGAAGCTAAGATGTTTCATTTATGAATTGATGATAAAGTAGTTATTAGTTTTATTACTGTACCTAAAATTTGATGACTAAGGTGACTTATTATCATTCACATAGTTCTCCCTCTGTAACTTAATTTGATTATCACCTACTTCCACTGAATTATGGAATCTTCTATGTAATTGTTTGCTGTGTGACAGACTCATCCCAAATTCTGGGTCCTTCCTTTGCTTTTGTAATAATTAACCTGAGGCTAAAACTTCCTGGAAGGTGGCACATTTGTAGTACATTAGATGCTTCTAAGGATGGTTCTTTCTGAGCTATCTGTTTCATGCTGTCCTGTTAAGTTGGAATTTGTATTAAATATTCCAGAATTTCAGCCATAAAATTAAATCTAAGAAATACCTGCTCATTGTGTATTGAGTTGATGTTTTCAGAAACAAATGCCCAAAAATATGGTAAGAAAAAGGAAGTGTTTATTATAAAATTAACTTAATTTTCAGGTGTTCAGAAATAAAGGAAATTATTTGTAAATATTATCAACTGTAAAATTGTGTTAGCTTCAAAACTATTGGACTTTAACCTGTAGAAAAAGAAATAAATACTTTATTTAGAAAGTAAATGGTAGTAAATTGAAAATGCTTGAAACATTGAATACAATTCTGGGCATTCTACCTTGAAGGAAAGATCATTTGGAGGTAATGGGAACAACCTAAATAGAGCAAAGAATGATGTTGAACTCTTACGGCAAATGTTGTTATGAGGTTTTACAATTTCTGGAAATAAAATTTTAAAATAATGGTGTTTTAACTACATCAAGTTAGAAAACCTAATAAGAATTACAGACAAAAAGATTCCTCCATAAATCTGTGGTGGGGTAAAGGTCTTCCAACAACAGAGATTCTTCTGTTTCTTAACTGTAAAAGTTATCATGTTGCAGAAATGCGTAACTGAGATTTCTCTCCCATTCACAAAGGTGGTCCTGTTAGGGTTGTTACCTAGTTACCTGTAGATATTTTCAAAACTAGATGCTTTAAGTTTAATGTCAGTATCATTGCTCATATAATCAAGCAGCTGAACTGACTTTCAGATTTCAAAAGTGCTGGAATTCCTCTAATGGGAATTATGCCACTTGAATATCAGCTAAAAATTTCGCTTGAAGCCACAATTTTAAAAACCAGAGTCCTAAGCTGCTTCTCTCATAGGTTCAAGAGAACACACTTTCCTTTTTATCTTCACACAAATGTATAGTTTGTGACATTTTTTCAGATAATCTGAAAAATTCAGTGTTTTATACTAAGTGCAGCTTGCAATGTTCAGTGTTTCTGGAGAGAAAAAGGTAGAATGTTCGTAATCATGTTCACCACTTTTTCATTAATCTCAAAAGAACTGAAATTCCTTTTGACTTCTGATTGCACTGGGAAACATAAGTGTCAACTGTCTCCCAGAAGTCTGAAGTTTTGGCAAATGAGAAGGAGGAGCTTTTCAGGTGTCTTTATTTGTTTGGTCTCTTTTCTTTTTCCCTAGATGCTGCTGAATTGATTGAACCCAATATCTTCATAACAGATTGGCATGGGGTACGTCTTTCTTCAGGTGGAAATATGCTGCTGCCAGATGATAGAAAAGGTAAGCAAAGCATCACAATCTTTGGTAGTGGCATATATTTTTCTAATAAAATGTATAGTATCAATGTATATTTTTCTAATAAAATGTATGGTATCAAAGCAGAAGGAATTGCTACTCTAAGATCAGTCTTTAAAGACAATGAAGTTATGTTGACCATACTGATTTTCAAGGGGACTTATTGGTTTTTGGTTTGGAGTTCTTGGTTGGTAGAGTTTTGTTTTGTTCAATTCCTGGTAAGATACCCAGCTCAGCACTGCTGGAACTTTCTACTGATTGAAGAGAGTACACTTTGAAATTATAAAGAAATATCACAGATACAAATAGTTCATGATTCATCCATAAAAGTTAATAGAAATGTTTGTAACTGAAAATATCATCTTAAGGACTTAACTGTCCTTGTGTATGACTTTTAAATCAACTATGTTTAAACCCTTATGTTGTTCTTTTGTCATGTTTGAAACAGTCGTAATTGGGTGATTTAATTACATAGATCAAACCATACAAACTTGAGGAAGGAAAAATGCACACATGCATATATATATATATATATGTGTGTGTGTGTGTGTGTGTATGTGTATATATATATGTATATATATATATATATGTATACTTTAGAAAATATATCTATATATGTGTCAATTCTACTTTGACTAGTGATACTCAGCTAGACAAATCATACACACCATGTAAAATCAAACCTGCCAGCTGTGGTGTCACCCAGGGTGGGGAACTACAATTCCTGGTTCAGAGACGTTTTACATCACGTTGTTTTTTGTGCAGTAGACATAAGGGAAATGTGCTGCATGTATTTTGGTAATTGTCCCAATTACATTCTTCTAAATACAGAAAAAACTGTTGCAATCCATGGACTAGCAAATACAGTAACATTAAAATCTGTGGCACCAGAAATAAGAGTGAAAAACTTTAATTTTGATGGTCTTTGTGTTGAAAATAGCGTATCTGTTCCACAGCTTATTGCAAAAACCAGAATTAATACTAGGTGTCAAGGGTGACATTGGAGTAGGAAACGAGTTCCTAACAATCTCTTTAAATATGAGCATTATTTTGTTCCTGGAGATGATAATGCAATTTGTTGATATGCTCATTATCTGTAATTTTTGAATCTCTTAACCTGCAGACAATACTTTTGTCCTCACAAATTGCTGCTGGATGTGTGCCCTTTCCACTGTACATTTCCTCTGTAAGTGGGAAAAAATATGAAGGTTGCATTTTTGAGTTCTGTTACATTAAGTCTTTAAATTATTTTTCATTGGTTAGAATATTTCCATAGTGCATGTGCACCAAATGTTCATATCATGCCATAAAATGACCCCACCTTTTCAGGGGGTCATTATGCTCAGTGGGAGTTACTGATCATGAAGCTTCTGGCTTGTCTTTGTGTTTGAAGTGGAATTGCTAAGAAACTGATAAGGGAGCACAGATTCCAAATTCAGTAGTATAACATTATTTGCCTTTTACTTGAAGGCATTCTTGGCACTTCTGGCATGGCAGAAGGGATGACATATGAGCAGTTGCAGGTAAGCTGTATATTTACCTATTCATTTATTACTCTTAATGAGTATAATTCATTGAAATTAAGTTCTTTTGTGTTGTACACTCTAATTGAAGAGGCTCTAGAGGAAAGTGGTTATTACAGTTTCTCTTCTTACAGGTCAGTCTAGTCAATTTAAAAAGAAAAGGTTAATTATGAAGTGCTAAACCCAAATGTATCATCTTCCTGTTTATGTGACTGCAGTTCACTTTAAACTTGGTGCAATATATGGTTTATTATAATACATGGATGCATGGACTGGAAGAAATGTGTGTGGGATATGTTAGCTAATATAAGCAGCTTTTTTTGACCACATCTGTTTTCTTCATTCAGATGAAAGAGTCGTACAAGTGTGGCAGCAATTTCCTCACATTTTTTCCCACATAAACTCACATTTAAACAAAAGGTTAATTACATAGAAGAATATTTTATTTTAACACACTGCCATTACAGGATTTAAAGGACAAAGCTGATATCTTTAGCAAAATATTAGAGTACAGTGCAAAAGCCAGTATAAGTGTTTACTAGCACGAAAGTGCAGGGGATGAAAACAAATGTGGTGGTCTTTGAAACTAGGCAAATGCTTTGTCCTCAAGATGGTATATCTTTTCCTGCAAGAAAATTTTGACACAAGAGAGAAAATTAACTATATAATTTTTCATGTTTTTCACCTGATATCCTATTATTTGTAATCTCAAATATTCTTTCATGCAAAAGAAACATTAACTGCTTCAATTAAGTAAGTCTTTCTTTTCTTTACATTAATCACCTTTTTAAAGTCTGAGAGACTGCAGTTAGGTTTTTCTAAAACAAACAAATAAACAAAGATAAACCCTCTCAGCCCCTTGCCCTGCCTGTTATAAGTATTAAGAAATTTTAAGAATGGTTCCTGGTGCCTCAGCATACTTTTCAGATATTTTTTATCTTTGCAAGGTTTTTGGTATGATTCAAACTCAAAAAATTTCTGATGGTAGTCTATAGGCTACTCATTAAACTGATATTTCAGCTGCCAGCTCAAAGTATTGAAAATCATGATTCAACACTCCCAAAATAAAATAACAGTTCAATCTTTAAACCTTCAGGGTGTGCTTGAATTATGTTTACAGATTACTTTTTCACCCATGAGGTCTAACAAACTTCTTCATGAATGTTTTCAAGTATTTTAAAATTTTTGTCCTCATGAAAATCTCCCAGAATTTGATGCTTAGAAAAAGCATTGCACAACTTATGGGAAAAAAAAAAAAGAGAAGAAAAAGACATCAAGGTCTGCCAAGTCCTGTTATAAATATACAAATGTGTTGTAGTTTTATAGGCATTTATCTCACAGACTAGTAAAAAGTGTCTAATTAACTGTAACAAAGGCGGTGAATATGCTGAATATGGACTTCAGTATTTTTTTTTAACAAGAACTACTAGAGACATAAGGTGTCTATTACAGGAAATCAGAATGATAATGTGTCTCATTTTGAATGGACATGTAAGGATTGAGTCCAACTCCCTGCTCCTCACAGGACTTTCTAACACTAAGCCATATGACCAAGAGCTTCATCCAGATACTCCTTGAACTCGGACAGGCTGGGTGCTGTGATCTCTTGCCTGGGGAGACAGTTCCAGTGAGGAACCTTTTCCTCATGGCCAGTCTGAACTTCCATTAGCACAACTTCATTTTATTCCCTTGTGTCCTATTACTGTGAATGTAACTGCTGAAATGTAGAGCATACTTCAAGGTTGCAGGCACATATGGTGATACTTTCAACATATGAGTGCCACAGAAATGCACACGGGATTAACAGTGGTGAAATAATTAACTGTCTTTTTTTCCTGATTTATTCAGAACTTTTTCTCTGCTCTGCTGGAATTCCTTAGAGGGTAGCTGTTCTGCAGAAAACTAACTTAAGATTCTAAATCTTTAAAAATGTTTTTTTAAGGGAGGCATAAAAAGTTGTCCTTCATAGCTACATGGGATGACAGCATAGTATAAGGAATTCTTCTTGATCCTGCAGCAGGAAATGGGTGAAAGAGTGAGCAGTACATTTCAACACATATGTAAGCTCTGGAGAAGGCATGGGATATTCATCCTTAATCACATTGGTTGATGTGCTATGTCTTTGATTTTCACAGAAGCACAGCAAAATTGGAAAGCACATTTTGTTTTCCCTGAGCCACACAATTTCTTTAGCAGCACTTCGAGTATGTTACCCACAGTCAGTGCTGATCTGTGTTTTCTTCGTGGGTTTTGTAGCAAAGACAAAATTGATTTTGGAGTGAATTTTGGAGGAATGGAGTGAAATCTCACAGGTGTGAATCTCCTTAGAGGCGAAGATGTATGTTGTCTAGATTTTGTTGGGGTTTTTTAATTGCTTAGATTTGTTAATGGCATGCACAAAACTGCTATAGCAGACTTTGCCTGACTCCATTGCATGTGTGTCACTACAGCATGTCCTGGCTTTAGCTGGCAGGTACAAGACAGTTGTACTGCAACCCTGTTGTTGGTCTGTCACCAGCAACTTGTTTGTTCAGTATGTTTTTTGTGGTGGATTGACCGTGGCTGAATGCCAGGTACCCACCACAGCTGCTCTATCACTCCTCTCCACAAATGGTTGGAGGAGAGAAAATATAACAGAAGGTTCATGAATTGAGATAAGGACAGGGAGAGACATCACTCACCAATTCCTGTCACAGGCAGAACAGACTCGACTTGGGGATATTAGCTGAATTTATTACTGATCAGAATCAGAGCAGGATAATGAGAAGCAAAACAAATCTTAAAAATCTCCCCACTCCCCTCTCTCCTTCCTGGCTTTACCTGCTCCCCAAAAGGGGTGCAGAGAGACAGGGAATGGGGGTTACAGTCTGTTCATCACAGGTTGTTCCAAGGAGAGGAGTCCTTCCCCTTCTCCACTGTGGGGTTGCTCCCACAGGAGACAGTTCTCCACAAACTCCTCCAGCCTAAGTGCTTCCCATGAGTTCTTCATGAACTGCCTCAAGATGGGTCACTTTTCCAGGGGGCATAGTCCTTCAATAATAGCCTGTTCCAGTGTGAGTCCCCCACAGCATCACAAGTCCTTCCAGGAAACCTGCTTCAGTGTGGGTTCTTTCTCCATGGGTGTGCAGATCCCTGCCAGGAGCCTGTTACAGCATAGGCCTCTATGGGCTCACAGCCTTCTCTCAGGCATTCACCTCTCCAGTCTGGGTCTCCTGCATGGGCTGCAGGGGGATCTCTGCACTCCCATGGACCTCCCAGGGCTGCTCCATGGACCTCCACAGCTGTCTCACCATGGGCTGAAGGAGAATCTCAGCCCTGATGTAGAGCAGCTCCTGCCCGTCCTTCTCCACTGACCTTGGTGTCTGCAGAGTTGTTGTTCTCACATTCCTCTCACCCTTCTCTTCTCTGAGCACAACTAAATCTGAACAATAACTTTTTTCCCTTTTGAATCTGTTATTACAGAGGAATTATCACCATCTCTGATAGGCTCAGCTTTGGCCAGAAGCAGTGCTGGAGCCAGTGGGCATTGGCTCTGTCAGACCTGGGGGAGGCTTCTGGCAGCTTCTCACAGAAGCCGCTCCTGTAGCTCTCCACTACCAAAACCTGTCCATGCAAACCCAGTTTGAACACTATTATTTGCTGTGATGCATAATTATGTTTGGTTCCCTTGTCACTATTATGTTAATTGTTTCCCAGACAAGGTTCTACTCCCAAATAACTTACATTCTTTCCTCCTGAAAACTGACAGACCAGGATTTAGCCTTGGCTGTCAAAAACATGTCTATATTTCTATATTGCTGTATTTTCTGAAGTGTGTTCTGCTCAGTGCCATTCAGAGCCTTCAGAACTTGAGCAATTTTTATTTTTTGCTACTCACACTCTGTCCAAAAAGCCAGAGTCCAGTTTTGATAGCTGTCCAGTATTGAATGATTCATTTGGTTAGCAGACAGGATCATTAGGTTTCACCTCAAACTCTTCAAACAACATGAGCAAGCTAGAAGAACAAATCAGTTTCCTGAGCTGCACTGCAAGTCACTTATCAGTGTCCACCATTACCTGGTTTTATTCCATCACACAGTAATTGGTTTGCAGCCCTCACAGCAACACCCCGTCAGCCATTCTTGCCTAAAGCTGATTTCAGCCTGGCTGTACTTCTTCTCTTTTACATACACTGAGACATTTCAGAAGCAACTGCAAATTTTCTAGCAGAACCTCAAGCCATCCTGCAATCCCCTTCTTAGAAAAATGTTCACAGAGGAGCTTTAGGAAAAGGTACTTAGAGTAATGAATATCTGTATCTTACTTGCTTTAGCAACATATAGGGCAATACTATTTTTAAACTTACGTTATGTTAAAAGTTTTTAGTTTAGACTGGGTTTTGAATTTTCTAAGTTGTAATGGTGCAGCATGTGTGGGTCTTTCCCAGTGGAAACAGAATGACAGTGCTTCTAGCAGGAAACAAATTGCCTTGCCTTCAGCTCATAATATAGTTCTAGCTTGTCTAGTAGAAATGAGAAGGAAAAGAACTTCAAGGGCTCAAAAGTCCTTAGAAGGTACATCAAAATACCACAAACTTGATTTGAGAACTTGCAAATGTTTTAAGGTGCTTTTCATTTTAGGGCCAAATCTCCTCACATTTTCTGACCAAGTTGACATTGACATTATCCATTACATACATTGTAAGGTGACAGGGTGAATCTTGGTTTAGAACAAAGAACTGGGATGAGTACTATGGCTAAAAGCATGGTTAAATGCAGAATAATTAGCTAGATAACATAGTAATGCAGTCTTCTACCTCACTGTGGAACACACTTTATAGAGAAAATTCTGAAAATATGTTGCATTTATTTTCTGGTTTGGGAGAATTTCTATGCATTGTCTTTTTCTCCCATCACTGTTGTCCCTGGCTGTGGCCTTCTAAAATACCAAGAAGATGGGAAACTAAACCTTAAGTGAGGTGATGACATGAAAATTGTAGTTGGACAAATGAACTGTGTAAAGAGTTAAAAATAATTCAAGCAACTTGATTGGGTGATGAGAGAAACATGAATTCTTTAGAAATTGACAGCTTCATAAGAATAATGCCATGCTGCTTTTTTTACCCAATTTTCATTATGGTAGTAATTACTATCTCAATACCAGTCATTTCATGGGGATTAATGACCAGCTGAGGATAATGACCCTCAGCTTTATCTTGAATAATCAACTTGTGCCCATTTATCACTAATCTCCTGAAATTACTCAGCACTCCAATTGTATTACTTATTTATACAGAAATTTGGTAAACATGCATAAAAAGACCCTGTAATGTTTCCAAATTATTCTGCTCACATTCATTGTGCCACTCTCTCTTTTCCACCCTCTGATTTAATATTATACTGCACAAGAGGCAAGCTCCTTCTTTGTGAGGCTGTTTATGAATAAGGCAGTGAATACCAGTTTCAAAATTTCATGCTGCTTTTTTATATTAAAGTACACATGTAATACCCAAATTCATGCAGAAATCTATTTTTTAATAAATTGCTTGAAGAGACCTAATCCAAGCAGAAATTCAGTTATAAGAAAAAATGCAGTGGTCAGAGAGAGGAGATGTGTTCAGCTGAATGCTCTAGCTCTGTTGTGGTTTCATTCCCATGGGCAGCCTCAGCACCACACAACCACTCGTGCACTCCTCTGCAGTAGGACAGGTGAGAGAATTGGAAGAATAAAAGTGAAAAAGCTCTTGCCTTGAGATAAAGATAGTTTACTAGGTAAAGCAGAATCTGCACCTGCAAGCAATGCAAAAGAAAGAATGCATTCTCTGCTTCCTGACAGCTGGCAGGTTTAGCCATTTCCAGGAGAGCAAGACTCCATCACGTCTCACAATTGCTTGGGAAGACAAGTGCCATAACTCCAAATATACCACCCTGCCCTTCCTTCCTTTTTCCTCTAGCTTTTATTGCAAAGCATGATGCCACATGATGTGGGGAACATCCCTTTGGTCAGTTAGGATCAAAGGGAACATCCCTTTGGTCAGTTAGGGTCAGCTGTTCTGGCTGTGTGCCTTCCCAGCTTCTTGTGCACTCCCAGCCTAAGCACTGGTGGGGTGGTGAGAGATGCAAAAGTGGCCCTGGTGCTGTGTAAGTGCTGTCCAGCAATAACAAACACTGCTATGTTGTCAAGGCTGTTTTCAGCAGAAATCATAGCAGCATGCAAATTGCTGTGAAGAAATTTAACTCTAACCCAGCCAAAAGCATACAAACTCAAATGGCCATGTCTGTTTATGAGGAATGCTTCCACATTTGTTTTGTAGGAAAGAAAATGGTTGCAGTGCAAGTAAGACTAGAAGGAAACAGGCTTCATAATCAAATGCATATTGATATGTTGTCACATAATTTCTTAATTTTCTTCAGTGAAATTTATTCCATTGTAATTAAAATTTTAGAAACAGAGAAGCAACTAATTTTGTCGTTAGAAAGAGCTATTTCATGAAGAGCATGTCAAGTCTGGCTCTAATGATAGCTATACATTTTTAACTATTCAAAGAATATCTCAAGGTATTATCCCCAGAAGGATTATATAGCTCAGGAATGACAGCAAATTCTGAACTGTGTCTGTTTGAGGCAGCTCTCATTTGTATTTGGTCTATGGTTCATAATTTGAAAATAGAAATGCAGTAGTGGAGCTTTTGCTGCCTGCAAATTTTTACCGTGTTAATTAAGTATTCTTCAACATAATGTACCACTTTAATTCTGTTAGATGGCTAACGGATTCCCATTTGTACTTCGTTTAGTTAATGTTTTGTTAATGTTCTAGAACATACTGAGCTAGGGAATAGATGGCAGTACACAGCTCCAACACTCCTGGAATCTAAAGCAGGCTTTTGACTTGGTGATACTTAGGTGATTTAAGACATTCTGGTCCTTTTTATTCTCGCCTGGAACCATTTCCACTAATGCTGTGAGGTATCTGTTAATTGTTTTCTTCTTCCAAATGGTTCTCCATGTAGGTTCCGAGTTCTCACACATACAAGAGATTGTTTTGCCCAGCAAGTCATACCAGCATTCTGCTGAATCGTCCTTCTCTCCAAGGAGGTAAAAAAGTTTGCCAAAGCACAGAAGTACTTTTTACTACTACTACTACTACTACTACTACTATTATTATTATTATTATTATTATTATTATTATTATTATTATTATTATCTTGCTATCATCATTACTACTAAGCATTCATGGCTGGAAGAGTTTCATTTAGCCCCCTGCAGTTCTGATGGCTGCCAGCTGAGGGTCTGTGTGGCACTGGAAGCTTCCAGTCCCATTTCCACAGACCAGCATTCACTTCACCTTTTGAGTCAGCTGTTGTTCCACTAAGAGGCAGTATTGGCCTATCTTTTCTAAGCCACAGATCCTACGAAAATTAAAAGCAACATAAAAACCAGGTGTAGCAATTGATCCTAGCTTTAATTTCATCCAACTCCTGGGGTTAGACAGTGACTAATATTTGTCACATTGAGGAATACAGAGAGTTCCAATGGCAAAAATCTGGCCATGAGATGGATTAAAAGACACTTGCAGGACAGGGTTAACTGCACACGGTGATTGTCACAGTATGCCTTTTCACACTTGCTGGAGAGATAATTTTAGCCAAATTGTTCCAGCTGCACAGATATAGGCTGCATTCAGAAGATATATGTCCAGGCTTCATGGTAATGGTAGAAATTTGCAGAAATGATGACTTATAAACTAGGAAAAATGTATGCTTTGGATTCTAGGATATTACAACTCTTCATGTCAAAATCAAATGATCAGGTGTGAAAAATGTATTGAAAACTCTATTTTTAGAGAAATGCAGAAATGTTCTGGTTATTTCATGGGTAACCAGTATGCTAATAACAAAGAGTCTTTGAATTTTTTTTCCTGGTATTACAGTGCCATAACAAGACATTTTTCCCACTTTGGTTAGTAAGTCAGTGTTTTAATTTTTTTAAAAATTTATTTGAGTCTTGTTTTTCCTGTGAGTCAGAATGAAAAGGGCTGTGGAAGAAACTGTTTATTGCTTTTTAGCAACTAGTAAGCATTAAGACTGCTAGACTTGGCTCATATTTGTAGTGCTAGGTATAAAAGATGGATAACCTGGCTGTTATTCATGACATTGTGTGGTGTAGAACAGAGAAAGTAATCCATCTGGTGCAAGTACCAGAATAATCTGATCACGTGGTACGATTGTCATTGATGCAAACCTCTTCCCTCACTCAAGCTAAGGATTATCTTTAGCAATGAGATCTGTGGAAAGATGCATTTCACCTCTTGTTGGAAAAAATGAAAGAGCATCTGGCCTAAATTTAGGCTGACTGGTAGGTACTAATTCATTGATACAGTTCAGGGATGTAGAGACAAAATCAAGTGGTCTCCTGGCACTAGGAATGCCTGAAGTCCACAGTGCTTGTAGAAAATTGCATGTTTATGAAGCTGTCTGTCAGCATTTGGACTGTGGGAATGACTGTTTTCAACAGCAGGCAGATGGCTCTGGTCCCTTGCAGAGATCACATGCCCTGAGTTCTCAGACATTCTTCTATGAGCTCTCCACCTTTGAGTGGAAGCATCTGT